CTGAACATCAATCACCCCGCTTCAGAGGTAGTTCTTCTCGGTGATTTCAATGCCCATAATGAGCTTTGGTTGGGCTCAAATAAGACCGATGCAGCAGGTCGTGCAGTCGAAGCGTTCGCTCTTACTCAAGGGCTGACCCAGCTGGTGACGAGCCCTACTTTTTTCCCCCGCGTCTCGTCACACGCCAGTAGCCTGCTGGATCTCTTTCTGACCACGCATCCTGCCCCTTACAGCACTGCTGTCCTGTCCCCCCTGGGTAACTCAGATCACGGTGTTGTGGAGGTTAGATTTCGGTCAGAAGCCGCTGTGGCAGCAGAAACTAGCACAGGCCGCAAAACTTGGCATTACGGACATGCCGACTGGGAGGGGCTCAGAGACTTCTTCTCTAGCTTTGCTTGGAGAGATGTCTGTTTCACTGACGCGGATGCGTCGACTGTCTGTTCTTCAATAACCGAAATTATCCACGTCTGAATGGAGGAATACATCCCTCACATAGTGAAAGTTCCTAAACCAGGGTCCAACGGCTGGTTCAACAAATCGTGTGACACTGCTCGCCAGCAGAAGATCAAGGCCCACAGAACCTACTTACAAAACCCCACTGTAGAGAACAGACAAGCCGACGTCGAGTCCAGAAACAAATATAACGAAGCGGTTCGCAATGCCAAAAACCAGCATGATATAAAAGTTAGGCACAGGGTAATGTCGCAGCGCAATGGCAGTCGGTCTTTCTGGACGCTGGCCAAGCAGATTGAAAAGAACTTCTCACACAGTAGCCTTCCACCACTTACGTGTCAGGATGGAACTATTGTATTCGACTCAAAGGCCAAGGCGGAAGTGCTAGCCAAGATCTTTGCTGCCAACTCCACCATGGACGTCCCCACCAACGCCCAAGTGCCGTCAATTCACACTATGCGGGAGGTAACATTCAGGCATAAGACCGTAGGTCGAGTGCTCTTGTCGCTCGACATCAACAAAGCTTCTGGTCCGGACTTGATTCCTGCCATTGTACTAAAGAGGTGTGCTTTCGCGTCTCTTCCAGATATCTTATGAATCCGGCACCTTCCCAGAAAACTGGAAATTTGCTCATGTACAGCCCGTCCCAAAAAAAGGATCTAAAACCGACCCTTACAACTACAGGCCTATAGCTCTGCTTTCTGTTATAAGTAAGGTGATGGAGAGGTGCATCAATCGCAAGCTTCTGGACTACCTCGAACTTCACAGCTTGATTAGCGACAGGCAGTACGGTTTCCGGCACCAACGATCCACAGGGGACCTCCTAGCTTACGTCACGCAACTGTGGAGTAAACTCATTCAGTCTCATGGTGAGGCTCATGTCGTTGCTCTTGACATCACGAAAGCGTTCGATCAGCTGTGACACGCTGCCCTCTTAAGCAAACTTCCATCCTACGGCCTCCCAGAAAACCTTTGCAGATGGATGGCTGACTTTATCTCTGGCCGCAAGATATCCGTCGTAATTGACGGATTCTCCTCTTCATCCCACAACGTCAACGCGGGTGTTCCCCAGGGATCGGTCTTGGCTCCAACACTGTTTCTCTTACATATCAACGATCTCCTTTCCTGCACGATCAACCCAATCCACAGCTTCGCTGATGACAGCACTCTACATGCAGGAATTCAGAGTGACAAGCCGATCTCTGCCGCTGAGCTGGAAAAAAGAAGACTAGCGACGACTTCTTCTCTGACAAGAGACCTGGAGGCTATTACTGCTTGGGGACGCAACAATCTTGTACAGTTCAATGCTTCCAAAACACAGTACTGTACTTTGACGAACAAAAAGCGTCCTAGCGCTCATACAGTTTCGATGGACGGTCGAGTTCTACCAAAGAGCCATTCATTTCGGCTGGTCGGAGTCCAGATCACCGAGGACCTGATCTGGCACGAACACATCTACTCAATAGCTGCAGCTGCTGGGGAAAAGCTAGGCTATTTGTTTAGGGCTAAGAAGTACTTTTCTCCGCATGACCTTCTCACTCTATACAAGGCCCAGATAAGGCCTAGCCTCGAGTATTGCTTACACATTTGGGGTGCTGCCGCCCCGACTACATTGTCCATGCTCGATGCTGTCCAGAGGAGGGCGGTCCGACTGATCGATGACTCTTCTCTAACAGACAGTCTCTTTCTCTCTTTCTATCGCTACACCAACGGGCTTTGCTCCTCAGAGCTCTCTTCCATGAAGCCGCCGCGCGATGTGCCTGCCAGACAGACCCGCCTGACTTCGGCGTCCCATCCTAACCGTGTCAAACTTCGTACATCCAGAACTGGCCGATACGACCGCTCCTTTGTCCCGAGGGTGTCTAGATTGTGGAACAATCTACGGGAGGAAGCTTTTCCCAGTTCTACTCACCTTAGGCAGTTCAAAAATCGTATTAACAAAATTTCTTTGGGATCATCATAGCAGCCGCGGTGTTCCGGCATTTAGGCTTCTGCCTGCGCGGCTGTTTCGATATAAAAAAAAAGACTATGAGAATAACCACTAAAACTTACATGAGCTCATCGTAATAATAGCAGGGTGTGAAAATCTTACCCAAACAGAGTGGATTAATGGTGAGGAATTGGTGGAAGAATTAACTGATACAGAACTAACTTATAACTTGTAACAATGGCGATGAGACAGGTTTAAGTGATGCTAGTGACAATGAGACAGAAACCTCTGCCAAAATATCACATTGTGAGGGATAAGTTCTACAGAAGGCGTTGTCTTACGTCGAACAACAACAAAATGCGATAGCAGCTGATGTGCTACTTATCAAACGTTGCTGCCAAAAATAGAAACAATGCAAAACGTGTACATTGAAAAATTATTTCCTTTGTAACTAAATACTCGTAAATACATATGTATGTTTGTATTCACACATTTATATTTTTCGTAACTTTATATAGGTATTCACGGTTTGTCCGGAAAGAAATAGCTAAAATGTATTGAGCCAATCGTTACAGTTCTTTAAAAACTTTCAAAATAGGCTCCTTCTGCTTCGATGCAGCACTGCCAGCGCGATTTCCAAGCATTGAAGGCGTCATGGAAGGCATTCTCCGGAATAGCCTTGAGAGCCGCGGTGCATGCTGCTTGGATCCCCTCTGTCGTCTCAAAATGCTTGCCTTTCATTAGCCTTTTCAGGCGAGGAAACAAAAAAAAGTCCGGGGGGGACACATCTGGGCTGTAGGGCGGCTGCGGAAGCGTTGGGATGCCGGCCTTGGTCAGGTAGCTGTTCACAAGAAAGGCGGTGTGAGCCGGGGCGTTGTCGTGGTGCAACTTCCAGTCGGCTGCGATGTCTTGTCGGACCCGACTGACCCTTCGTTTGAGTCTCCTGAGCACTTCCACGTAAAACTTGGCGTTGACGGTTTGTACAGGAGGAACAAATTCATGGTGGACGATGCCTTTGATGTCAAAAAAAAAACAATGAGCATCGTTTTCACTTTGGATTTGCTCATTCTTCCCTTTTTTGGGCGAGGAGACGCCGTCGTGTGCCACTCGGAAGATTGCCTCTTTGTCTCGGGATCATACTCAAAGATCCACGACTCGTCACCTGTGATTACGTTATTCAAAAATTGGGGGTCACTTTCACACATGTTCAAATTTTCTTGGCACACTTTCAATCGCCGCAATTTCTGGTCGTCAGTGAGCACTTTTGGGACCATCTTCGCGACAACCTTGCGCATGCTCAAATGCTGTGTCACAATGTCATGAACCACAGATATTGGTAAATTTAACATCTGGGCAATTAAACGAATACTTAGTCGACGGTCTGAGTTCAAAACTTTACGCACACGAGTCACATTATCGGTGTTTGTCGAAGTCGAAGGTCTTCCAGCACGGTCTTCATCAGCGACCTCTTCCCGGCACTCCAAAAAGGCCTGGTGCCACCGAAATACACCAATTCTTGCTAAAGCAACACCTGGGTAAGCCTGCTTGATCATATCAAACGTCTCTGTCGCAGATTTATCTAGTTTCACACAGAATTTAATCGCGTACCTCTGCTCTAACGAAAGCTGCATTTTCGGCTTGCACCACTCACAGAAACACGTCGCGCAAAAATGCATGTCCTGACTCTCCAAGTGCTCGGAGACAACTGACCAAGTGACCAGCCGCTCATTCGTTAGCTAGGAACGCCCTCTACCGAATCCAGTCGGTGCGTACGTCATGGCGGAAGAAAATGAGTCCATTACTTTCCGGACAATCCCTGTATACTGACTTAACACACGCATTTACTTTTTTCAATAAAAGCATTATGAGAAAATATTTATTTCCGTTTTATCCGAAATTTCGATTATCCAAAAGCACTTGAGTCCACATTACGAGTATTTCGAATAATCGGGGTTCTACTGTACAGTGAGTTACTGTGTTAGCCAAGTATTCCTTTACTGGCAAAAAAACATCAAAAATTGAAAAAATCATATGAAATGCGGTTATTCCAATTTTCAAAATTTTCCGGGAATCAAATTAAAAAAATAACTGTGGAACCTGAAACAATGGACAAAAATACATGTGTTTGTCGTGTTTTTATGTTGACCTACTTACGATATCCTGTATCGCAAATGTCAAAAATTGGAGAAAATCAGTGAAATTGTTTTTCCGATTTTTGGCAATTTTCTAATCAAAAAATCCTTATTTTGTAGGTGGACCTGAAAAGAACCCAAGAAAACTCTGTTATACAGTGGATCTTCAAGTTTGCGAGATTTTCAAAATATAAAAAGAATTGCTTTCGAACCTATACAAATCTATAGAAAATTAGTTATGTAGGGTAGAACAATGTAGCAACCGTAATTTTTTTTCCTAGCAAAATTGCGCACGCAAAACATTATTTTCGAAGAAACACATTTTTACGTTACCTATTGATCTGAAGATTCGACTAAATTGTTTTCATCCAATAGACCTTAATTTGGATTGATCTGAATTGGAATACCTTTGGGGCAATTTTCATATATAGTTTTGCCTATAGCCTTTATTTGAGATCGACGAAAGGAGTAAGTAAGTTCGGTAATATATTTCGAAAAAAACTGTTCAATCGTTTATTTTCACATTTTCCACTGTCTACAAGAATCATTGTATATACCATGATAAATTCACAAATGAAAAAAGTTAAAATAGCTTGTTCGTAATTCTTTTTGTCATATATTTTCTGAACAGAAATATGTGATAAAGTCTTAGAATGAGCTATGCCACTTGCCACTTTCAACGCCTGATAAAGATGTCAGTGATACACATTATCACATTTTAAACCCATTTTGTTTCATTTTTTGTCAGATAGTCAGCACTTAAGTTACTTTCCAATAAATGAGTTTCTGGATACATATACACTTTTCAATGATAAAACTGAGGCTATAGTGATTACAATGTAGAGCAAAAAATGGACAATGGAAAATACCAAAACTGGTAAAAAAATTACAAAACTAAACATAAAGTTCAGTCTTCCAAAAAGAAATACTGCCCAGCACGTTTCTGTTCCACGTCTTTTACCGATTCTAGTTTGTTTATCCTGGGCCGGAAATTATTTGGATCACGTCTGAAAAAAAAACATTTGATAAAGGGGTTAAACACATTTAACGTTGATGAATTCGTGTATATTGGCGCCACTAATTAATTTCAAAGAAATCGAGTGTATAACCATATATATTTTTCGATTTTTGGCAGAGCTCCAATGTTGCCACGTAGTCTGCACTTGAAAATTATCTTTTCTAAAAGTTATACCGACAAAAATTTACGGGAAAGGACTTTTATACGTGAATATTACCTGAACGTGATTCCTAGTAGCTCCAAAAATCGGTTCATCCCCGCCAATAGTGTCTGAGGCGCATGCGCTGTCGTGTTAACTGATGGTTGACCTTCAAACACTATGACGCGATCAGCAAGGTAAGTAGCCATGATGAAGTCGTGCTCAACTACAAAGCCGGTCTTCTTTGCATGTATGATAAATCTGAAATGACAAAAGACGTGGCATAATTTCAAAATATTAACGCGAAGCGATTAGAAGGGAACCGCGGAGACATTTGTAAATAACACGTGGCATGTCGTTTCTCTTCGCGTGGGCTCCCATTTTATGAACCCAGCCAAAGAGCATTGATTCTCTTTTTTCCATCAATGGGCGTGCACCTTAAACCTAGATTCGGAGGGTATCGAGGTTAAGAAAAAAAAATGAATTTAAAACTGACAATTCTCTTCTGATACTACCTAAAAATTAATCAGACAAGGACGTATATTTTATTAATTTCTGCTTTATAACGTTCAAAATCACACTGGTCGCGGCTGATTTTTTTTAACAATGAAAACGCGTGAGAAAACACGATTTAGTTTAGTATCAAAAGAGAATTGCCAGTTTGAAATGTCCTAACGATAAAACCCTTCCAACCCCGCATTAAAGCATCCACTAACTACTTTCTGGGTAAACTGGCATCAAACACATAAGTTGGGATTCTTTTTCATTTGTAGTACCGCTAATCCAACTTGAAAAGTTTCTGCTTAATATTCCAGCTCAGCCATCATCTAAAACTAGTCAATATAATGGCTTTTCCTGTTTTTAGCAGCCCGACTCGGCACATGTATGCAAATACAAACCTCATCAAAGCGACTGCAACTCGATGCTCGGCGAAATGGTTGCTGGCATAGGACTACATTCACATTTAAGAAGCGTTGATGAGAGACCCACGTTTAAGGATGCATGTGGTTAACATTGCAACTACTGTGAAATGAGAAGGACACGACGTTCGCATGATGCATGATAGAGTAATCCGAGCAATCTAAAATCTAAAAAACAATCATCCTCCTTATTTGGAAAGAGCCACAAGGCAATACTGATAAATTTCAAATATAGGTATTCGAGTTAACAACGAAACACTAACTGATGCATTTAGTGCGCAAAGTCACATCCATCTCTTTACTGGGCTATCAAATGTCAATATCCGGCACGGTACGGCTATTATGTAAAAACCTAAGAAACGTAAAAAAGGACGAAATGTCATCTTGCAGACTAGGTAGTTTTTAAAATGCAAATAGTTCAGTCCACGTTTGCTTGCTATGATCGCTGTTCGTTGACGTTTAAGCAACAGCTACAAAACGGGTTCACAAGTGCACAACAGCTTGTGCTATGTTAACATCTTGTATCCATTATAACGTAGTTTTTTTGTAACATAACGTAGGTTTTTCTACAAGATATTAAATTAGCACTAGCTACTTGTTGTGAACTTGTTTTGTAGTTGTATGTGTTGCCTAAACGTCATGATGCTTTAGTTATCAATATGTGATGTAACATCTGCTTCAGAGATGGCATTGGAGGACTAAGCTGTAAGTTGTATACTATAGCTGGAAGGAAAGGGCATTTCAAAGGTGCATAGTGAAGATTTGTGTGCTAATAATACGTGTTAATGATAATTGAATTGGTTTCTTGACTCTGGAAATTATGTATGCAAATTTGATCAGTTTGAAAAATGAGAGAGAAAAGAAAATCCCTAGTTGCTGAAGTAACAGGTGAGAAAATTTGCCACACATTAAAATTTATGAAAGTGAAAACTATATTATATTATTTTTTATTTCCAGTCATTTAAATTTTATACAAATTTATTTATTTATTTCAATAGAAAATACAAATCTACGCCAAGCTGTGAGGCACTGCGAAAATGATGTGTGATGCGTCATTCCTAATTTTTATGTGATGTGGCTCAATTGCACGCAACGCGGGCGCGCTCTCGACTTCCCGTAATACACCTCAAAACACAAAACACGGGAAAATCGTGGTTTACTTTGAACATAACCTATCTTCAGAAAGAACAACATATAAATAACCTTTCGGGCACAGCTAATACATATACTTCATTGGCAGCATATTCAGCAATAATTTTCTCAGACAGTAAATATCACTGATTTTATACACCTGCAGACCAATACACATAATAATCCAGATGCGATGTTACTACTCAAACAACTTTCTTTGTTTCACATCTTCTCAGAGATAAACACTACAGACGACTCGGCTTCACAAAACATATTCTTACTTTCTGCAACCAATAATGCGTGTCGTTGGGTCATTTCTCCATATATGGACGCTCACAGCAATCATAGCGAGCAAAAGTGAAATGAACACCCTAAAAACTACCTAGTCTGCAAGTTGACATTTTGTCGTTTGCGCCTGGTGCGCGCCTTTGAAGTAATTGTGAACGCAGGCTGCTGGCCGCTGCCAGTCGGTTTGAGGTTTCCCACCAGTTGATGGATGATGTGATCTGTGGATGTCACGCCACCTAACATTCTAATCGTATCCCCCAAAAAAGAAATTAATCGGAAAAGTCTCTCATCGCATTTTTGTATGTGATTCAGCAGAAATGTTGAAAATCCTCCATGAGACATGTCAGCTAACGTTCTGATAGTTTACTCAAAAAAAAATACTAGTTTTTGTGATCCTTGAAGATCCACGCACAAGTTTACTATCGTTTTGCGGTATATAAATCTTTTCACAGAGTGTAATTAGTGTGAATAAATATTATGATCCAGTTGGAACAGCACTGTTGAAAACCTTCCAAGAAGAACTACTGTTGATATGAGCGTCACAAGGAATGTAATAGCGTACGAGCGATCATCAGACGCAAGAAATATGCTTGCACACAAGGTGTTATTTTCCTCAGAGCATTCACGACACATACACTAAGAACAAAATTGGTCTGACGGCTTGAGTTCAATGTGTATGTTGAAAATATGCGTTCGTTTATTCTCTACTGCCAAATGCTATGGTTTTATATTGAGCATACACTTCGTGAATTGTGTCGAACCTGTTTAGGATCGGTCCTAACCACGCTCCATTTTAGGTCGAAATGAAAATTCAGGATTGCCACAAATTCTGCAACATTGCATCATTGCTTCGCTTCGTAACACCGCATCATTGCGATGATTTTGGTCAGTATCCATCCAGCGCTCATTAGGGAGTATCGTCCTGCTTCGAAATGGTTTTCACCTATGTACACTCGGGCAGTGATAGGAGTAATTTGTATTGCCTAATGGTAATTGTTACATATTCCGACCGCTCGCTGTCTCAAAATGTAATAGTAACTCAGGATGTGTTTATTTTATCACCATTGGTGGAAATCAAACATGATTTCTAAAATAAATTAAGACTAACTAAGTCGCATCAAAATTCAAATAAATAATTCTAATCAAAATGAAAACAAAATATTAAATGAATGTTCGACAGACCTCTATCTTGGGGTATGTCTGTAACCTAACCTGTTGTAGAAGCCTGTGCGAACGTTTTCTGGTGTAACATATTAGCAATCCGGCAGATTACACGACGTTCTGCGTCACCATTGCTAGGCACTGTGGTGATGACCTTCGCTCTTCAGCCGGCCTTTATCTCTTTCTAACACGTGTTGATACATACTCGCGGTTCTCTCTCGTACACATTGAACTCAAGCCGACGGACAAACTTTGTTTTCCCTATATTTGCAGTGGGAGTTTTCTGGCAAGATTTTATTTGATAAATACTTCACAAGATTTTTGTTTTGATCGGATATTTAATTAAAAATAGTCCATTGTCATTCCGCCTTCTTATCAGTAAGTATATAGTCATAGCTTTATACACAATCTCAAAAAAATAATGCCAGTTGCTTGGCAAATGCTTCAGTGGGAATGCAAAAGCAACAGAACTGAAGTCAAAATCAGGTTGAAGTCTAATTGCTATCAAGTTGCTTTTGGTGAGAACACTACCTTAGAGAGTCAAGGATATATATCATTTTTCTAAAAGACAAATTTATCTATTAATAAATTCTTCCATTACCTTTTTATAACCTTGGCTGCAACAAGACGCTGCTCAGAGTCCAGGTAAGCACTAGGCTCGTCAACGAGGTAGACATCAGCTGGCTTTCCAAGACATAGTGTCATTGCTACTCTCTGCAATTCTCCTCCAGATAGATTTTGCACTTCCTGATCAATAATGTCTTCTATTTTCAAAGGTTTCATCACATCGGCGATGAACTGGAATGATAAAAGATAAGTTTTTTATAACAAAAATAAGATATTCTCAAGTCGTTGTTAGATCCATAGGAATATTTTCCTCCCTGACGCTGCCGCATTCTAGATCTGCTATTCGAACTCATTGGACTTCCGTTTTCCATTACAACTCGATCGAGTTTTATATTCATACAACAAGATCTCTAACTGGTTTATAAGTCATATTTAATATATTTAGGTTTTGCCTCCGCGGCTCTTTCACCGTAATAAAATAATACATTAGATACTTTATTGAATGAGGAAGGCCCTTCTCACCTGTGGATGTATGTAAGCATCTCTAATTTTTTCATGCAGTAACTGCCTTACTAATGCCTGTGACTTTGGACTGATCTTCTGGGGTTTATAACTGATGTGTAATTGAGGTAAATCACCTGAAATTAAAGATGAGCCCTGAATTATTAAAAAAACATTATTTGATCGAATTATCGTACCTGATCCACTATCAGCTGCTAGATTTCCAGCCAACATCCTAATGAAGGTGGTTTTTCCAGTACCGTTCTCACCCAAGAGCACCAAAATCTCAGAGTCTGAGAACTGTCCTTTCATTACGCGTAACTTGAAATTACCCATCGTTTTCGTCATCTCAGGGTACTCGTAATGGTTCATACGTTTTACCTCTTCCTCTGTAGCTGATTCAGCAACTTTGAACACTAGAGACTCGTCACGGAAACGGAGATTTTCCGTGGGGACGAAACCGTCCAAGAAGATGTTTATTCCTAAAATAAATCCAACGTGATTCAAATACAAGGGAAGTATTCCAAGAGCAGATTGTAAGACCAAAAATAACACCAAAGAAATCAATGAAAATGGGTGTTAAAATATCTCCTTACCGAGATTCAGGGTGTTAAAGTTTAAAAATTTCAAAATCGTTAAAAATTATATATGAGTGGAAAATCGCATCGACTTAAAATTTTTTACAAGCAGTATCAACAGCATAAGCGATTAAAACCAAATGTTGTATTTTAGAGGTATCTCTTGAGAAACTTTTGCCAGACCATTCCTTTAGGAGAAAATTTAGTTTTAATATTTCAGATAAAATCTGACATCTGGACAACCCCTGAAATCATTATTTGAAGAATATGCATGTTTTGTGCTTAGTGAGTCTCATTTTCAGTGGCATAGAAATTTTCAGGACTTTGTACACTGGTAATAGAGCATTTTAGAACTAATGTTATTTTTGAAAAAAAATTTTGATAGATTGCTATTGTTCTTGAATCACCGTGTGTATTGAACTATACAGCAAAATTACCAAAAGTAGCAACACTGGCTTGGCGCTGTCCATCATGCGATGTGCCATCTATTAAAGCATTGAACCGACCAACAGAGTTCATGTCAGGTGAACTATGGATGAAGCAAGTATTATTTTTTTCAACAAACCAAGTACTGGGTGGAATGATTTGCGCTGGGTTATTTTAGCCACTGATAGTGATATTTGGAGTATATTTGCATTTTTACTCCTTACTGACAAAATTGATTTACTTTTCCATGACATTAACGTACGACAAAAACACCAGTCATGCAACTTTGACTTGTACATACTATATGCTAGTGAATAAAAGTATTTTCAGAAGTTTTTCTTTTAATATTCAGTTTTTGCAACTGGAACTGAATTTTTGAAACATTTGGTACTGATATATTTTTTCAATATTTCTTACTTCAAGATAACATTTGTAAGACATTCAAAAGGAATATGCTTGACATCTTAAACCTATATTTTTGTTGGAGGTATGAAACGCCAGGCCCCATTTCGAAAAATTACCTAATAGAATCGCACACATGCCATGACCATCTCTAATACTGAGTTTATATTCTATAGATTTCTGAGCTACTTTTTTAAGGAGGTTACAAATGAAACAAGTTAAAACTGGTGGCCAGCATTTTCGCCTTTCATTATCATATTTTGTGGTCTGACGAATCGCGTCTCACAAATCTTGGGTTATTTGATAAAAATAATACACGATACTGGGCAACTAAAAATCCACTTTTGATAACAGAAGGGGCCTTTCAGGACCATTTAGGAGCGAACGTGTGGCTCGGGGTTTTGGGAACCCGCATAGTTGGTAATATATTTTTTTTTGAACCCTTAAAAGGGGGGAAGATTATGTTAACTTTTTGCAAAATGAAATAGAAGATTTTCTTGGTGGTTTGCCCATCGACATATCAAAGGTTATGGACCTGCCGTTCGCGTTTGGAATTGACGCCGGCGCAGTGCAAGAGAGACAGCACGTGAAGGATAGAGCTAACGCGGGCAAACGTCGTACGTTAGATCTGTATTGTGCATGTGTTTCTTTCACTGTGAAAAGCTTTACACATATTTTTGCCTTGAAATTAGTTTTAATTGTTGATTTTTCACAACTTCAAACCAATTACAAGATGGTGCAGTCTTGTTGTGCTATAAACTGTACGACCAGAAGAGAAAAAGGGGTGAAATTAAAATTTCTGAGGTAGGTTATGGCCAGTGGTTATGGCAAAGATTACAGAATTAAATAACAGAAACTTTGGTCATGAAAAGGCTATAACTAGAGTTTTCTACTTTCAGTATACCCAAGGATCCCGCAAGGAGGAAACAGTGGTTAGTTGCCATAAGAAGGGAGAATTTTAATCCGAGTGATAGGACAGTTATATGCGAAAATCACTTTACAAAGGACGATTTTGAGCTGAATGTACATGGAAATACAGTTCTCAAGAAAACTGCAGTGCCTTCTGTTTTTAATTTCCCCGTACATTTACAGCAAAAAGTAGTAATAAGGAGACCTTTAAAACGAAATATATCTGATAACAAAGGTTAGCACTTCAGTACTTAAGTAATGACTGAACCGTCTATTGATTAATATTATTTACAGAACATGGTGCTATTGCCAGTACATCAGGCATAAATACTGAACCAGTATTAGGAGTTATGTCAAGTGAATCTGTCAGTGCTGAAAATGAGGATATAGATTCTGAGCAACCTACTACTACATCTCAAATGGAATTCCCTAAAAGGTAACAGGATAACAGTTATTGCTATTTATTTTCTATCTACTTGCTTACCTAAGCATTTATTAAATGAATTTACAGATCAGAAATTAGTTTCTTTCATTATGTGTTAAATATTTCTTATTGTTTTAGAAGACGGAGAGATCCAATTTTCTTTGGGGACTTCAAAGAAAGTGATTTAGATGATGTGCAGAAGAGAAAAAGATTTTGGAAGGTAGCTCATCATACTATAGCAAAGTCTAGGAGAAATATCAGGTATTATCAGTGCATAGCCAGAAGACAAAAGAAGAAGATAAAAAGCCTTAATTTATTGTTGGACGAATTGATGGAAAAAGAGAAAATTTCATCACAGCAGCTCATGGTATTGAAGGTAAACTATTTATTTTTTTGCATCACACATAGTTGGTTTGTTTGTTTTCTGTAAATACTTAGTAGTTTGCATCTTGTTCTTAATGTTCAACTGCTGCACAATAAAATCCTTTGATCAGTAGAATAATTACTTGCTCATGGGAAGAATGCGAGGCACATACACACATATGTATAGTTGATTGTATAGTATGTATATATGCTCCATGAAAAAAGCAGCGCACTAACAGGCTCCATTACCATTGTTTAAGCAAGGTTCTTTTTTATATTTCTAGGAAAGTATTCCTGAAGTACAAAAAGCCATACTGTTTAGGCACCTCAAAAAGGGCATCAAAGGAGGAAAATATAGCCCTCAACTGAGATGCTTTGCTTTAACATTAAATTTTTATTCTTCTTCTGCATATCAGTATGTTAGAAAAGTGTTTGGCAAAAATTCTCTCCCGCATCCTAGAACACTAACAAAATGGTATTCTACTGTAGATGGTACACCGGGGTTTAGTGCAGAAGCAATACGGGCTGTCAAAATGAAAGTTGACATTGAAAAAGGAAAAGGAAAGCAACTTATAGCAGGTCTTGTGATTGACGAGATGTCCATTCGTGAGCATGTACATTGGACTGGTAGTAGGAATGTTGGATACATTGATTATGGAACTGGTATGCAGAATAGTGACCAATTACCACATGCAAAACATGTATTTGTGATAATGCTTGTAGGTTACAATACAAGGTGGAAGGTTCCCATTGCCTATTTTTTAGTAGATGCTTTATCTGCTGAAGAAAAGGCAATGTTAATTAAAGGGTCTTTCCTTCAGTTGGAAACAACTGGGGTGCTGATTAAAAGTATCACATTTGATGGGTGTGCATCCAACATTTCGATGGCAAATTTGCTGGGAGCAAAGCTCAGTTTTCCTGGAATGAAACCATATTTCATAAACCCAGTGAATAAGGAAAAAGTACATATCATTTTGGACGCATGCCACATGATTAAATTAGTACGTAATACTTTGGGTGATTGGGGCATATTATGTGATGGAAATGGAGACTCCATTAAATGGTATTATTTTAAAGAACTGGTGAAGCTGCAAGAGGAATCAGGGCTTCATTGTGCCACTAGACTAAGGTCTCGACATATTAACTATTACAAAGAAAAAATGAAAGTGAAGCTTGCTGTCCAGACCTTTAGTGCTAGTGTTGGTGATGTCCTAGAATACTGTAATCAGGACTTGAATATTACAAAATTTAGAGGTAGTGAAGCAACTGTTTCTTTCTGTCGAAAAATTAACAATATTTTTGACGTTTTAAATGTTAGAAATTTCTATGGGAAAACTCCTTGTAAAAGGCCTCTTTTCAAGGGAAACAGCGAAACCTTCAAAAATTTTATCAAAGAATCTGTAGAATATTTAAGTTCATTGACAGATCAAAAGCACGATAAAGTAATAGAAACAGGCAGGAAAACTGGTTTTCTAGGACTCATTGTTTGTTTGTTAAGTGTTAGGAATTTATTTGAAGATGTGGTTGAGGGTGATAAGTTACAGTTTTTATTAACTTATAAGCTAAGTCAAGATCATCTTGAAATGTTTTTTTCAGCAATCCGTTCAAGGGGAGGCTTTTCGAACAACCCGACTGCCTGGCATTTCGAAAATGCATATAAAAGACTCTTAATTCATAGTGAAATAACTACCTCAGATAGTGCAAATTGTCTGGCACAGGACAATACCTCGATTTTAAATGTTACCATTGAAAGCAAAAATAACTCAATTTTTACTACTGACTTATTATATGAACAGACAGAATCTTCAGATGCGGAAGATGAGTTATTCATTAAAAACTATAACACAATTGCCAACTGCACATATATTTGTGACATTGTTGAGTATATTGCTGGGTTTATCAGCAAGAAATTAGTTAAAGCATTAAATTGTAATGAATGTGCTAATGCTTTAACTTCGGACAATTCTTTGTCGCTGCTTTTAAATAAAAAAAATCGAGGAGGTCTCTGTAAGCCATCCAGAGATGTTGTGAAAGTGTGCATATGTGCAGAAGGCTTAATCAAATCAGAATCAAACTTTTCTGCTCTAAACCTTATGCTAAAATTGATATCTTTGTCGATAAGGAAACTCAATTTCGACACACTATTCGTTGGCTTGAAAAGTCATTTCCAGGATCAGGATCCATTACAGAGCCATTGCCTGCAATTAATTAGGCTTATATTAAAAAATTACTTTTCAATTAGAATACACCACATCAACACTACAAAAAATGAACCGCGCTATAGAATAAGGCAACATCTGACCAAAACTATCACCTTTAGCCATCAATAATTCTTTTTTTTTATATAGAATAACTTTTTGTAATATCAATAATTATCATTAAGAATTTTTCATACTGTATTCTGTAGATTAAGGTTTTTGTTTTGTAAGTACGTGAATAAAAATTAATATTATATATATTATCGTTTTTTTTATCGAGTAGAAGTATAAAAATCCCATTCCCTTTGCCTAAATCTATTTTTATAAAGATATCATAACTTTAAAACCATCCAAATCCTGTTAAGCGCGCGGCTTTTTGCCCGCGTTAGCTCCGTCTCTCTCTCGGATGTTTCTTTCTAACGTTGGCTGCAAGCAGCTGTACGTACAAGGATAGGTACGGGCGGGTCCATAACCTTTAATATGTCAATGGGTTTGCCCATGGCTGACAATAGGAATGTTGTATTTCAACAAGATGGGGAGCTCGCCCACAACAGCAGAGATGTTACAAATATTAAACGGATAGATTCGGGAATCGCGTTGGCTAGGAACAAACGGTTCTGTTAGGTCCTTTGGGCCTACTTGAAGGAGAAGGTTTATGTCACGCCTCCTATAAACCTGTTAGATTTAGAACAACGGCAGCAATGAACACCTTATCTGAAGATTTTTTAAACAATGGACATGCAGAAACCATAAGAAGGGTCAATAAATGCTACAAAAATAACGTAGGACGCATTGAACTATGTTAGCTTTAATATGAATGTTTATTAGTTTTTAGTTCTTAATGTTGTAATAATTTTTTATAACTAGAATAGTTGGGCAAAATAGGTAGAATAGGGTAGAAGAGGATAATATTAATAATTTCAGTTTGTAGTAATCAAAGAGAGTTGTTTTGACTATTATTATAAAATAGAAAATAAAGTTTTTTTATTTATTTGTTTGAAATTATATATTTTTTTGTTGCCTTGTAAGCAATATGGCGAATTTTAAGTTATTCACGAATTCCTGTATAGCGCCGCCATTTTAAAACGAAAATGTCACTCGTGACTCATCGTTGGAAGAAAATCTACAGGTTTCCATTTGAAAAACGAGTCAAGGTCACTACCGGCTAAACTGGTAGGGAAGGATAACACATTCAACTTTCCAGAAATGCCTCTGAATGACTAACTAAACATGTCCTAATCTTGGAGCGATATCTTTATTTGCCAAATACAGTGTGTTTCCAATTTTCATTGTTACCCAGTATAGTATTAATTTTTTGTTCAAACCGAGTAATTACCAGAACCAGTAATTTAATGCTTGAAACCAGGTACTCGGTGCATACCTAGATATAGAGTATATAACATACATAAAAAAATGTTAACTGATGGATATGATTTTGATGATTTTACCTTCACGAACTGAGAAGGGCATCGTTACAACACCATAAGCACCTGGTACCCCATATAGACAACATATAAAGTCTGACAAATAATCCAGCACACTCAGATCATGTTCCACGACGATTATGAACCTGGAAAGACAAAATTATTTTTGCTGCCTTAAATCATTACAGCCATCCTATATTTCAAATAAAAGAGTCTGGTATATTGGGATAATTCTCAGGAATCTCTTTTCCTTAGCTACCTTCACATGCAAGAAATTCAAATTACTTACTTATCAGGGTGTAATAATGATCGTATCGTTCTGGCAGCATTTAATCTTTGTTTGACATCCAGATAAGAGGAAGGTTCATCAAACATAAAAATGTCACCATTCTGAATACACACCATGGCGCAGGCAAATCTTTGCATTTCTCCACCTGACAAATCTTCTAATTCCCTATCTTTAATGTTCTTCAAATCTTAAAAGATAATTTTAAATGAGTATGGTAGAAATTTCACAAGATACAAGTTACAGAAGGCTTCCCATTCACCTGAGACTCCTCATTTGTTTCAGACCTTTTGTTCTATGAATGCATGGGAAGGAGAGAAAAAATATATTTTATTTATAATTGTCAGTTACAAGCATTAATTAGCCAAAGGCTTCTCGGTTATAATTAGCTATAACATTAAAAATTAGCTATAATTCACAAAATATGGAATGCAATATCAGAAATGGTTGGAGCTACAATGATGGTTAAGAACAAAAGTTGTGTAGGATAAGGATCTTCCACATGCAGTTACAGAATTTGCCTGTATTTTTTTCAAATTTCGAGTTATTTGAAGAAAAATAATTTCAAAAATTTGCAAATTTATGATTTTTCCAATTTCCATAAACTGCATGTGAAAGGTATTCATATTCAGCAACTTTTTCCTAATTTAACCAAATTTGTAGCTCTAACCATTTCTGAGATCACAATTCTTATCTTGGCCACACTGTATACTGGACTATAGGTTTTTTGTGAATATCTCTTAGAAGTTCAATCTTTACTATAACAAAAATGGTCACTTTTGGGCCAAAATATAGAAAATTGGATTTGAAGATTGAAAGCCTGGAAAATAAAATTAAACTTATACAAGGTGTTTGGTACATAAACTGACAAAACTATTTGATTATTTGTACTAAAAAAAAAAGTAATGCTATATTGCTGAACCCCTGAAATACCACATAAGCATTGTTTATTTTTGGTAAGTTGTTAAATAGGTGGATGCAGTTGTAAAATACAGATTTTTCATATGCTCTTGTTTTATGCCTAGTAAAACTTCAAAGCATACCGAGTGTTGTATAGTTGTTGTTACTTCCAAGGAGAGGGAAACCATCAGGGTTGATTTTCACAAATCTAGCCCTTAGAGCATTACAGTTTTGAATGAAAATCATCAAATAGTGTCCCTAATTACCCAAAAAAAAAAAATTCGGTACATGTTCCAAACACCCTATATAGGTTGACAGGTTGGCCATTTTTACTTATGTAAATAATTATTTTCAAGAGTTTTGGAAAGATATCAAAAATTAGTTCCAATGACCTATATGACAAGTACAAAATAGATTGATAAGTCAATCCTTTCTCTTTTAGAATAAAATATTTGAATTATTTATTAATTAAAGGATTTCAAAAAACTTTTGACTGAAATATCTACTGCATGGATTATAGGATCACAATTTCATAATTTTTTTTAGTTTCTTGAAGAACCTCTAATGTTTTCCAAGAACAGGAGTAGCTAGAAAATACAATTTTTTCTGAACCACCCAAGCTTTGAGTGCATCTCCAAACTGAACCGTTCTACTTTCTTTTACAGCTTCACAGCTCTATACCCCAAACTGTTGGCCCCATGATATGACAAGCCAAGCCAGGGGTAGGCAACAATGTTCATTTTGCCACCTATAAAATCCACCATTGCTTATAACTAACAACTGACAATGGTAAATGAAATAAATATTTTTTTCTTCTTTCAGCACTTTTGTATAAAATATTTTTTGCTCTGGATGGATGATTTTATAAACACTCAAAATATAATATTTGTCTTACCTAACATTTCACAAATCTCATCTTCATTATCCAATTCATTTTTCTTAGCAAGTAGCTGTCCAACAGTTCCTTTTACTGCTTTTGAGATCTGGTCCACATATTGAGGTTTGATCAGAGCTTTTAGATCATCCTCCAGGATTTTTGTAAAGTAATTTTGCAATTCACTTCCTCTAAAGTGGTTGAGGATTTCTGTCCAGTCTGGAGGATTCTATGCACAGAAGGTTCAAAACATCAAGGGTTTATATAAGAAATAATAAATAATAATTTAGAAAATAATATTATTGAAAGCAGTTATTAAACCTAGCAATTAAATTGTAAAAAAAATCATATTAACCGCATAATTGCCAAGATTAGGCTTCTGCTTTCCAGCCAGGATCTTGAGTGCAGTGGACTTTCCTATACCATTAGTACCTACAAGTCCTAGAACTTCTCCAGGTCGAGGAATTGGCAGCCTATGCAGCTTGAAGGAATTTTTACCATATCGATGTGTTGTCTCTTTCTGCAAATTGCTTGGCAGATTTATAATGTTGATAGCTTCAAACGGGCATTTCTATAATATCGAATGAAAGTTTTGGTTAAGAGATGATCAAGAGATAATTTTTATAGTTAGCTAACACCAAAAAAGCAGGCAATTAATAGTTTACATATGTAAAAAAATGCTGTTTTTCAAGAACTTATTCTAACTCTGAAATTAAATTATGATCTAAAGCTGCTAGCTACTAAATTTTTGATTCTTTCTAAACCACACTTAGGACAAACTATTATTGAGTTTATGTGAAAAATCACAAAATGTACAGACATACCTTAACACAAATACCACACCCTATGCACAGTTCCTCTGATATTGCAGCAATCTTACTGTTGGGACTAACTTCAATGCATAGTTTGCCCATACGAACTACAGGACAGGATTTTTTGCACTCCTGTCTGCATCTTTTCGGTTTGCACTTATCTGCATTGACAATAGCTATACGCGTAAGCTTGTCAGATTCTTGTAAAGCCTTTCTCTTAGACATTATTTTCGACTTTATTTAAACAATATGTTGGACAGCCTAGCCTGTTAACCTCAATGTGTCTTGACTGAAACTGCAAATAAAATAAGTTTTGTGGGTTAAACTGTAGTGAGCGTTTGTTGAGTGAATTTTCGATTGTCTTCTGGTGAACTGATATTTACCGTTTTTAAATAAAATTGAATTTATTTTACAAATTTAAAAAAGTGTGCAAGCTTAACAACTTGCATGTGAAAAGGACTGTTGTCATTTTTGTCACTGCCACTTGTCAGTATCACTGTCAAATTGACATGACCATCTTAAACCGGTCCCACACGATGTGGTGAATGCCTTATAACGCTGGACACATGGCCATTCGCCATATCGTGTGGGAGAGCCCTGACAGATTACATGTGTCCAACGTTCGCCACAAGGCACGTTCGGGCTTTTGTCGGTAAATTTGACCTGCGTCAAAGAACTTTATAACGCTGGAAGCATGGTTCGTTAGGCTCACGCACGAGATGTCATGTGTTTGATGGTTTTAGATTAGAACCAGTGGCGCCGAAAAATATTTACTTGTTTGCTGTGATTGTGCGGAAGTAGTGGCATGTGGGAAGTATTTTTATTTGAACCTGCCTATTAATAACAATATATGTTCCGTAACTAACTTTTGAGCAGAATGAATTAAATTATTATACATACCAAGCATAGGTTGCCATAACAACAGTTTTTTCATATTGCTAATATTTTGTACGTTTCGCAGGTGAGTTATGGCTGGCTTACAGTTGTTTCATTATAATGTCCTGTTGCAAAGCAAGACTAGTTGGGAAATATATTGACTTGCATTTCATAACTAACGAAACAATTAAATAAATGATAAATCTGAAAGTACTATCATGATTTTGATGAAATTTTGACCCCAGGTTACTACTATAAAAATGACGAAAAAGTTCTACAGTTTTTGAAAAACGGTACAGTGGCGGCGGAGTTATCGTCGAAAAACAAACATAAAACCGTTAAGTCTGGTTTTTCGATATTTCTGAACCATGGGTCGAACGTCCGAGACTAAGAAGTTCATACCATCGTGTAGAAGACACATTTGCTAATTGTGGGGTGTCGAACGTTGTAAACAAGATTATACACAACGTTGGAAGCATCATGTGTGACACGCATTATCTCCTTCAGTTACTAGACTTGTTACGATTTTTTTGTTGTAAATTATAGTTGCATAGATTTTACGAATTAGAAGGTTCTCTAGTAGAGAATCTCTACTACTTATTCGTTTATTAGTTCATAAGATACGATATAGATAGATAAGAATATATGGATCTCATACCCTTGCTAAAATTTATTGTGTATAGGGGTATATACATTGTACATAGTATTTTATATTTCTGCTTTCACCTGTTGATTCCTTCCCTTCTGGACCTGCCCTAGCGAGCCTGAAACAAAACTTAATAAGTAGCAGGTACTTAACTCACACTATTGAAGTCAAATTACTTGTTCCCTTTTATAAATTAGTGCCCTTAAGCCACCCTAGTCATTGTTTATAATTCATATTTTATAACCTTTATAGCAATTTAGCAATGAAGTTTGCGGACAGGTGTCAAGTCGGCTGTCACTGTCAAAGGTGAAAATCATACATGTCAACTGGTCGGGAAATGCCAGGCGGCCAGGCCGAGACTCGCGCAACAAGTAAGGAAAAAAGGATCGCCATTGCAATTTTTGGGTATCGAAGGTATGCGTCTGTTTCGCAAGTGCGGATTTGGTTCCGAAAAATAGCTGAATAAAAGGAAAATCTTCACAATTTCAATCGCTGTAGGCGTTCGATTGGAAGATTTCCCTTCACTTTAAAGGCCACCCTACACCCTAGGTAGGTAGCTTACCTTTTTATTTCTGCCTTTAGCTTATGCTTGCAGCACTCATGTAGTGCCTGATTAATTGCTTTGAAGTGCATGTAGCTTATGCTTGACTTTTGTCCACAGGCCTTTTCCTTTTCTTCTCTTTTTCTTCATCACTTCAACGTCTTCTACTTCCTGTACGTTCTCTTCTACATTCTCCGTACATAACTGAGACCAGGATTTGATCAAAACTACACTCTGCAACCTCGGAAGATAAACTGCTATATTGAACCTAGCATCGCTTGAAACCTTAATTTTGTACTGCTTTGGCTGGCTTTCTGCTACATTCCTACATTTTACCATATGAGGGCTGGTTAACACCACCAAGGGACCTCCAACAGGTGATTCCAGAGATTACAGGTCAGATTAGGCTATAAGGTTTATGTAAGACTTTAGGTTTCTTGGACAGCTGAGATACAGAGTACCAGATTTGTTTGCTGTAAGATTATTCATTAGGTTAAGATCACTTTGTACATGTTTCACCTTTCTGTGCGCATACTTTCCTAGCAGTAGATCACACCATTCTTACGTAACACATCACTTTGCCCAGTAAATTGTGTAACATGAGACATAGCATATCTGAATGCAAGTGTTACAACTTCTTGTAGCCATAGGAGGTAGCATATAAGGTAGCCGACCTCTCTTTTCGTGAGATTCTTATACATAGCATACGGCGTTGTCTTTTCAGGAAATATATATCGTTTCAATCCAAACTTTGTAATTTCTTTCATTGTTTACAATTTCTACAGACAATTCGACAGGTTGACAATTTGACACCGTGGAACCACGGAACTCCATATAGAACTGGACTCCCTGACGCCGCTACCTGGGAGTAGTCACGGCGATTGTATAGTAGTAGTACTTTTTACAGCACATAATAGGCATTCCTAAACTAGATGGCGGCTGATCAACGATCACTCCGTCGTCTCGACCACCCACCCCCGTGGCGACTGGCGCCAAGCGTAACACTGGCACCCAACGTGGGGCCTGTTGGAGGGGCTTAGTCTGCAGACAGACCTTACAGCTTCGGATATACCCAGCTACGTCCTCCTTCATCTTCGGCCAGTAAACTTTGGCAGCTAAGCGGGCGAAAGTCTTTTGGACACCGAGATGTCCACAAATAGGTGATAAGATAACATATTACCTTCTCGCCTTCTTCAGACGGTTTTGTGAGTACTGCTCCGAACCCAACATCGCTAGCGTCTGCTTGAATAGTAAATGGTTTCTCAAAATCGGGGCAGTTAAGTACGGGTGAGGTGACCAGGTGATCCTTCATAGTTCGAAAGGAACGCTCACATTGCTCGGTCCACAAGAACTTCCTATTTTTCTGCAAAAGTTCACAGAGTGGAGCCACAATGGTGGAGAACTCTGGGACGAACCTACGATACCACGACGCAAGTCCAAGAAATCGTCGCACATCTCTGGCGGTACATTGAGTAGGAATCTGTAACAATGCTTCCACCTTCTGTGGGTCAACCATCAGGCCAAAGGCTCCATCCACATATGGTAGTGGCATTTATCCTTGTTTAGAGTTAAGCCAGCTTTGGTCAAATGATCTAGGACTTCACGCGATACTTCGAGGTGCTTCTCGAAGGTGTTGGTGCAAATAACTATATCATCTAAGTACACCAGCACATTTTGCTCCAAATCCACACCGATAGATCTATCGATAAATCTCTGCCACGTGGCTGGGACATTATGGAGTCCTCTAGGCATACGCCGGAACTGAAGCAGACCACGACCTGGAATGACGAAAGCGGTAAATGGTTTTGATGATTCGAACAGGGGCATTTGGAAGTACGCTGACTTGATGTCCAGAGTTGTCAAGTATCTAGTATCCTTTAGCTTATCTAAAGTTGGGGTAATGAAGGGTATCGGGTAGGAATCCTTTTCGGTAACCGTATTTAGTTGACGAAAGTCAACAACAAAGCGGTAAGAACCATCGCTCTTCTTAATGATGAGAATTGGTGAATTGGAGGGCTCAACTACCCCATGTTCGAGCATTTTTTCCAATTCAGCATACACGTGCTTGAGAACGGCGAGGCTAACGGGGTAATGTCTTTGCTTGATAGTAGAAGATGTAGTCTGGATGTGATGTTCCACTAAAGAGGTACACCATGGCGGCAAAACTCTACGCCAACAATTTCTGTAATAATTGTTGTTCTTCAATATTGAGGGAACCCAGCTCATTGATGCCCATTACTTGTACTTCAGAGCACTTTGATTCACGGAATGACCGTTCTCCAGAGAAGAGATCGGGTACGATCTGCATCGCTTTCCAGAAATCTGTACCTAGGATCAAGGTATGAGGTAGTGACGGTACCACTAGCACATCTAGGGTTTTGACCTTTCCCTGTAAGATAACAGGTAAAGTCACACATCCGCGAACCTCACAACTTTGTCCGTTGGCTACTGTACATGTTCTGGTTTCGCATTTATTGAGCGAACAGATGGGGCTCAAGATCTTCCAGCCTATTTTCCATGACCGCAACGTAGCTCACTACACGCTCTTGAGCGCCTTGGGTCCGATTACGAATTTCCTCTCACAAGAGGTCTTCGTAATCATATGGTTGAAAATCGTTCCTGAGTTTCTGAGTTAACTCGTCCCAGGACAAGAATTGTTGGGTACGGAACCATAATAGCGCATCCTGAACGAACAGTTCAGGAGCTGATCTGAGAAGGCTTCTTGGACACACCACGAGAAATTCTCATCTCTTCTACTCTTTGTAAAAACTCATTCACCCCGGAGCGACCATCAAAATGGACTCTCCAGCGGGCAATATCTACATAACGGGAGCAACCAACCTCAGTTGGACCCCGAGATTGAAACTCTTTCTTTGGTTCACGTCTGTGCAAGGACTGCAAGTGTTCTGAAGCTGTAATCGGAGCAAACTTTCTCACAGATCGCATTGGATCAGGTTCAGGATATCTAGAGTAGAGATAACTATCATATCTCCCCAGTGACATATCAGGGGGTATGTGATTACCTTCGCGATTAGGGTTTGATCTCAAGCCGTCGGCTCTATCATAACCAGAAGATAAAGGAGCGGAACTCCGAAAGATGACTTCCGCTGATCGTCGGTTATCGACTCCGGAAAGGGAAATATGACGAATTTGTTCCACGGGTGCCTCTGTGGGTCGTGGATCATCTACCAAATCAAATGATATCTACTAGCATCAATCACGGATGCTTCCTTAGAATGTCTCCTCAACTCCTCCTCGGACTCCTTGGCTTGCTCGTATGCGAGGTTCAACTCCCCAATAAGCTGAGCCGATTCTGAAGAAAGTGCCGCCTTTCTTCCCTCCAAATCAGAAGTAGTCTTTATGCGGGACAATATCCCCGACACGTATAGCAATCTAGAGAAGATTCGCCTGAATTCATTCTCTATGTTGTCTGGGCCGAAGCTAGCAACGTCCATGCGAAGCTCCAACAGCTTCTCGTCACAGATCTTCAGCTCATGTTCTGGAGGAGCTGAACTTTTATCAGGCGCCTGCCTTAGCTTCAGTCTCTCAAGGCGCAAAGTTTCTCTCAAAAGCATTATTTTCTCCGCCACTGTATTGCCAATGGGCAATTGCCTCGCTTCTAGCTCATGCGACAATTCATCTCCCAATAATCTGTTAACCTCCATTATTACAGACTAGATCAGAATTTCTCGGCACAGGTCCTCCGAACCGCCTTGAGAATCAACGATGAGTAGTACAATCACCTATGATCTGTCGCTGTCAAAAACTGCCGCCATTTCGGCGGAGAAAGTCGAATGTAAAATGTAAATTCCCCCAGTACTATGATGAAAGAGGTTTTAGTGCTCATCAGCAGCCGATGTTGCCACGTATCATGCCGGCGGCCACAGAAATTTGCAATCCACAAAATATATTATATATATATAAAGAGAATATAGAGATTTCCTACTTGTTTATATTATATATATATATATATATATATTATATTATTCCGATATCACCTAGTGTAGTTTGTGTGAACCAATAATAAAAACGAATATGTTTGTTCCAAACGAAACGTCGAAGTTAGCGTGAGCGTAAGTTTTAAAATAAATTTGAATTTGTGACAGTATTTACATGAAACAAAAATAATGACTTTTGCCATGCATTCTGTACTACTGCGATATTCTCAATCCATTCCATTTTCAATGTAACCGCAATTAAACCTGACACTTCTGGCGACTCCTCAGCTAGCATGTTTCTAAAACATACACGAAGAGATTTCAATGTGTAAGCGTAAGCAGTCGGTAGTTCCGAGAAAGACACCGAAATTCTTGTGATGGAGTTAAGGTTGTATTTGTGTGGTGTTTTTAGCACTGCTCACATTGAAAATCTAATGTATTGATTATAGCGAAGCAGCGTAGAATACATAGCAAAAGTAAATATTGTTCCGTTTATTGTAAATACTTCCACCATCACAAGTTCATTTTGAAGTTTTTTCATAAATAAGTAAGCATCCGTCGCTTCTTTTTGCACCAACGTATTCCTTTTGATTACTGATTCACACAAACTACACTTGCTCATATCCAAATAGTATCATTTTGCGATTTCAAAGAATATCTGCGGCCGCTGGCATAATACGTGGCAACGTCCGATGCTGCTGAACCGTTGAACCAGTGTCACCACATTTTTCGGTAGATCTACCGATTTTGGTGCTGGTCTACCGAACTACCGATTTTAAAGCAAAATCTACCGAAAAGTGGACTTTCCTTTCAATTGAATAATTTTTGTTCAATATATAAGAGAATTATTTCTGATGCATAGCTATAAAAAGAATGACAAAAGTACTATTATTATTCGTACTAGACCAGATATATTTTTATTCCATTTGCCTGACATTAGTGTGCCACATACGCTGATTCTTCGCATCTGGCGAATTACCGAAGATACTCGATGATTTGGCTACATCGCCTAGGCCTAGCGGCTCGTGACAAGTCCATGCCTGTATTATTGTACGAGTTGTATGATTTCGTGTACTTAGTAATTCCGAATTCGGCCAGTATTAGTATTGCCTGTCTTGCAGTCATTTTTTTTGGCGAGCGTGTGCCCAACATTATAAGGAAGACTGGGAAGAATTTCCAGATTTCCAAGGCTGGCTTAAAAAAGCAATAAAGGGCGCTATTATGCGAAATGCATATAGTCTGTGATAAAGATATTAATATCAAAAGTGGAAGAGATGCACTTATAAAACACGCAAATGGGCAATTTCATAAAAAAGTGCAAACCATAGCAAAACAGCCAAAACTGTTGGCTGATAAAAAATGTATACAAAAATGAATCGGAAGAATGATTATCCAATATAGCTTACACATTTTTTATTTTATACATTTTTTCTGTTTTTTATTAAGAATATTTTATTTTTAGTTAACTAAAGTGAGATATAAACTGTTTATTTTTGTTTTGTCTTTTTGTTTTAGAGTATATTTTGAGTTAAATAAAATTGTTTTAAGTAAATGCCTTCATTTACTATTCGGTAACAACCGGAAAATTCCATTCAGTTCTACCGAAATATCGTCGACTCCACCTGACAATACTGCATTGAACGTGTAAGTACTTCCTTCTGTTGAAATTGAAAATAAAAGATGTGTGCAACAGAGCAACTATTGGAAACTACTCTTTCCTTATTTCCACTCTAAACCTGGTGAAACTCATATTGGCGAATGGGAAACAAAGCAGTGTTGCTGGTGCATAATATGACAACCATGTCCCGTCCTCAAAAAATGACGACTTATTCACAACTGACGTCCGATTGGCCACATTTAAATTTCCGGTGGGTTTCTTCCTGTGCTCTGTGCTTTGCAAAAATACCTTACTTTTCCAGCATGTCATTTTCTTAACATTTCATTTTAATTAAATAAGGTCCCAATTATTTGAGCCATATGCATTTTGTTCGGAGTTGTGAAGTATAACATTGTAAGTAAACAAAGCTGTAATATCTATGTTTGTAAATACTATAAGACAAACTCCACATCAAAACTTTCTTTTTTAAGGTGATCCAAGTCATTAGCCAGGCTTCTGGCAGATCCTGAGGAAGATCGGAGATGCAGCGGTTACTCATTTTAGGAATGTAATATTTGAAGATCATACCTGTTTGTATCTCCACATCACTCTTTGAACAGTCGAGCACCACGGAAAGCTCAACAGCTGCTGTTGTCAACCTCTGAGGTCCTGAGAATTATCAGAAGCTCACAGATTACTTCTGATCTAACCAAAAGGCTCAGCTCTGAAGGATATTTGCAGAACACAACATTTTAAGTTTTTATATGACTCAATAACTAATGATGATTTGTACTGCTTTTTGTCCAAGTTAATTTTCATACTTCATTTTAAATCAACTATTTTCAGAGCAGTAAGGTTGATATGTAAAGCTCACTATAATTTTAATGAAATCAAAGAAAGGAATTGTTATTGAACAATAGCATGGGTGCCCTCAGGGAGGCTGTGCTAACAGTTACCTCTGGATGATGATCAGCACATCTGAGAAAAATTCCTATGGATTACCTGTGGACAATCATACTATTGTTCTAATAAAAAAAGAAATCTGTGAATTGTAGGAACATATCAACACAATTCAATTTTTTTGATTTATGCAGGTGCCAACAAAGGCTGGGGAATGCAAACATCTGGACCATAATGATGTTAATACTGATTTTTTTGTAGAAAAATGTATGAGATTTATATAACAAATATATATTTAGGTATTTGCAGTACATGTTTTTCTTCTGAACCTTTTCAGATTAGTAAGTAGATATGAGTGATCTTATAACAGCTTGTGTTATTGACGTTGCTAGTTTAACATACAAAAAAAAAGCATTTATTCGTCAAGATAGCGCAAAATGTTAATAACACATGCTGTTATAAGATCTCCCATATCCCACCAAATTTCTATATACAGGGTGACTTCGAAGTTGAGTCATTTATTTTAACAGTGAGTAGATCTGATCAAAAGAAATGTTTTTTTCCTTTACCATTTTTCTGGTAAAATTAAAGTAACAAAGTTATAGCCCTTTGGAAGTTTGAGTACCGCCCTGTCTCAATAATAATATCATGTACTCGTGTTTGGCAACAACGGATATAATCCACCTTATCGGTTCATCGCATGGGAAACAAAAAAGCGAAAGAATTTGGAACGATGTTTTTATTTCATTCAGTTCAGTTATACATACAGTCAGTGTCAGTCGCGTGTGAATAGTGTCTGTTGCGTGGCTCAAACGAAATAAAAAATGGCACATGTTTATGCGGATCGGTTTACCAATCGAGTGCAACCAACCCCTCGTGCCTTTGTTAATGTAGTACAACGGGCTCGTGAATCAGGTGACTTAAGACCTCACAGGGCACCTCACGATCAAATACAGGTCCGCACTGAAATACTTGTTGGGAGGATACTTTATAAAACAAGGTAAAAATTTTTTTTATTTTTACACACATATTTTGGTTTATCTTCCTTCTACAATCATTATCTGAAAATTAATGACTCAACTTCAAAGTCACCCTGTATATAAAAGTATAGCAATCTCATATTTATATGTAGAGCTGGCAACGCTGCGGGATATTAATGCACAATCTGGCAATAATGTCGCACTCTCAGAAAATGGCCGCTGACAACCATACAAGTCACCGTGTTGCCATTGAATAGCATGGAATTAAACCTTCTTCAGTGTATATGTTTCGTGACTCTAAAGCTAAAGTAAAATTTAATTTACCAGGTAGCTGAACAAGTAAAAAATGGTAGACGTCAATGCTGCTAGCCTTTTGTTCTTAGGCCTTATCGGAATTATTATCTGAGAAGTCGTCAAAGCGTAGTCAACCGCTTACGTCTAAAATAAAAATACGTGATGTTTACATTGTTTTTAGGTTATGACCATCGAACGTTCTTAAAAACGAAAATTAAAAATGACATGATAGGCTTGCATAAATGAATTCAATAAGTATTCTAGAAGTGCTCTTTTTCCATTAGTTATTTATCCCCATCAATAATTACCGTAAGAATTATTTTCAATCATGGTGATGGAATCAAAGACTACAAGCAAAACAAGCTCATTGAAAGCTCTATTGCTGAGAGCCTGGCGCGAGAGATGGACTGATCTGCAGTGGGGCATCAATATAAAGACTGTACTACCAAGAGGAGTCAGCGGAGATGTCTACAATTTGGCAGACTGCATTTTACAACAAGCAGTTGTTGGAGCAGGTGACGAAATGAATGGAGAATCTTCCACAGAGTCTTATGTAGTATCTTCATTTTTCAAATTATCATATATTATGCTAGTCATAATGAGGTTTAATGTTGATAAGTTTGTAGATTTTATTAAGATACTATGGGTCTCGTACTTCAGGATGGTTATATAAACAGATAACTTATAAAACATTTACTTTTTATTCCATTCGTTTATAGGTATTCAAATGCTGCATGTGCCATATTTTGATTTGTGCATGTAATGTTAAAGACAGAGAAAGTACTAGCAAATGTGGTGTAATGTACCAGCCAGGGCCTCATCTATACATCAATTGTTACTGTATCCTTGACTGTTCTTTTGAAACATAAATTATAAAGTGAACCATATAGAATTTAAATTTCATGAAACATTGTAACACTCTCATAATTTATTTGTTATTAAATTTGTTGTGGTTGCATGTGTTTTTATTTATCTTATTTGATGCTAATTATAGTGAATCACTGTTTTATATAAGACAGTGTTTAATATATTGATGTTTTTATGTCTGATCAAAAATAAACACATTCATTAAGTATACTTTCAGGTGCCAACCAGCTAGTTTTGAGTTACTTAAAACACTCATTAAGTGCCCAATTGGTATCTCATGCAGCAGTCTTGCAGAGACTTGGTAAATATAATCAGTTAAGCAAAGAGCATTGTGTGTTCAGTCTGCTTGAATTTCTCGAAGGGATGCTGCCAGGTATGTCAAAATAATAAAAAGTAGTATAAGATAAATTTTTAACTTAAAACTTTCAAAACCTAACTTGAAATGAAAACATGTATGTCTTTAAGTTTAAAGCATAATTAATACATGCCTGTTAATTTTTCCCTAAAATTACTGACTATATTAAACTTATACTGGCTACTTTTTAGCTGGTAGTCTTAGAAATACAATCTAAAGCACCATTCCTGCCCTTTATTAAAAAAAATGTAGTAAAAGCATATATTAAATGCAAATCTTTAATTTGATGTAAATTTTTAATTGCAATTACTGATTCAAGGTGTTACATGTTGTGGAAAACCTGAAGAGACATTACTTGCAACAGCTGTTTTATCTGTTGCCTTGTGGCTGCTAAATATATTAGAACAATGTCAAAAGGCTAGCCATATTATTCAGAAAGCAACAGATCTTATTAAAGTGCTGCTTACAGATGATTTTTATGTTTCATTGATTTGCTTGGGAAGGTATAATGATTCAGGTAAGGTATTCTGTTTTAGTCTATTACAGGTTTTAGTTTTTAAATTTGTCTGTGTTAAGTAATCTTAAAATATATCTTAATTCTACAACAAAATTCTTGAAATCTCTTGAAAAAAGTCCTGCCAAACAAGCTGACATTACAAGTATTTTTTAACTGGTGGAACTCCAAAGCTCCACTGAGAAGTAACTTTTTTCTACCTAAGTAAATAACATAAATACTCAGGTAAATAATGTCATGTGGAATTGTACCCTGTATCATGTCAGTTTGAAAACTAAACTGTACATTCTGAAATATGTGGAAAGGAGTGATGAGTCACTAATATGAAATAGTTCTCAGTGCTAGCGGTTTGGAAAATCTGCTTTATATTGCAGTCATTTGAGTTCTTCAGTCTGACACCAGGCTACAAGAAGTTCCAAAGTATTTAAAAGATTAGTATTAGTTCAGGTAATATTTTCACATCTGATGGGGAAAATATTAACTCCTTTTAGCAAATCTAAACCTTGCCTAGGATTTATTTTTTTTAGGACATTCTGAATAAAAAAGTTGCTTTTGAAATTTTAAGAGGAACTTCTATTGCCAACCTTTGTTTTTTATGTTAACCAAGCAAAGTGTACACTAAGCGTGTGCTTGGTTAACAATTGGAAGGCTTTCTGTAACCATACGACCTGAAATGCTTGCTTTGAGATTTTGTTAATGGATGTTTAAAGAATATTTAGAAAGTTTGGCAACATGAGCATTTTCGTTTTTTATAAATGTATATTTTTGGGGTTGAAAATGCATATTGTGCAGTTTTTCAAATTTTGTATGCTTATATCTCGAAAACTATCACCTTTAGAGGTCATTTCTAAAATACCTTCAGAATTTTCTGTAATTCTTGTAAGAAAATTGTTTATCAAATGTTTGACGCAAATTTGGGTCTGGCAACATGCAGATTCGTTAAAAGAGGTCTTGAATGAGATTATGGAAAAAATTCGAGTCGGAATACTTTAACCATAAGATGCGAAGATACTACCTGGACTGTATGAAATGTCATGATAGTTACTTTATATATAGATTGGGGTAAATGACACTATGCAATCAAAATATTGGGGTCTTATCAAATCAAATATAGTGATATATAGTCTTAATAGTGAAAAAACTCTATGCACACCTCGTTCAAAAAGAAAATTATTGATTTGTGTGCTTATTTTAGATTTATTCAGCATTAATGCTACAATATCCATGTCACAGTATAACACATAATATATCGATCTGGGCTGCAACCTGCAATAGTGGCACAATTCCAAAAACACGCTTTTTTGACTAAGAACAATTGTAAACATGAAAATTCACATTCTTTTCAGCAGCAATACTACATAATTCAATATTAGGCTGATTGAAAATAATTTTCGTTTGAGCAAACTAAAATATTTCTTATGCATTTTACTTAGCAATGAAAACTTTAAACCTACTTATCTCAAAAGATGTTGCAGCCCAAGAGTGATATTATGTCTTCAAGACTACATATTTTTATACAAAATTTCACTACTATGAATTCTGGTTTTTCCTTGAAATATCTTTTCACTTTCTCCTTGAACATTTCCAACTGGCACACATCTTGATATCATTACTTAATTCATTAAATTCGTACAATCGTTTTGAAGTACCGACTTGCTTGTTATATTGCTACTACAATTTTGTAAATGAAAGTCTACACTCCCTCTAGTAGAATAGCTATGGTACTCATTGTTCAATACATTGAGATTTTCCAAGATTTTTTAACTTGAATATGAAAATGAAAACTACGTAGGTTATGAAATTTTTGATATTCAACCATTGTAGTTCTTTCAGTATTTAAGATGATTCTCATAGCTTTATCTTGTAATATTTGTAATTTTGGAAATACAAGAGCTTCTCGACATCTGACAGTACATTAGTTGGGAGCATGTTTGTATATAACTCAGCATATGGCTCTTTTGGAACGAGTAATTGTAGAACATTTTTATTTCGAAGGAAATTTGCCATACACTAAACAGTGATTCACTCACAATAATAACTTCTCTCCAATAATGTTGAAACATTCTTTTAGAATCATTTTTGAAAGATGTTCACTAGGATTTCCATTTGATTTTAATCTTGAAATAGCTTTTGAAAGCTGGCTGTTGTTTATTGTTTGGAATTGACTCATAGAAGAATTATTATAAGTAACTTGCATGTGACATAGGTTTGGATCTCCATCTTCGCTTAACTCTACTCTTGTTTATACTTTCTATAAAATAAGCGATCATTCGTTCAGCAATCAACATTTTTTGTGTTACTATACCATCTTCGAAGCACATTGCGATTTCTCTAGGTTCCCTCTCATGAAACACATTTTCCACCTCAAAACATATCCACGAATGTTCGCTTATTTTTACAGTATATAAAACCTTAATACTCAAATTCACTGGTTATTATTAAATCTATCTTATAGTTCATGATAAGTTTGTAATCCTTGTGTATTCATTAACTTTTTGCCATAAACCATGAAAGTTCAGCACCTGTTTAAATTTTTTTACATACAAATCTTGATTATCAAAATTTATATTGAATTCATCCAAGTGTACAGTGGAGCAATTTCGATAATACTGTTTTTCACAAACACTCCAAAAAAATCGGGTAATATTACAGCTTGGAGACCTGTAGTAAACGTGTACATTGTAATTTTGTGAGATCTTGATTTCAGAATTAATATACATAGTCTAATCATACTGGACCAAAATACCCCTGGTTTGCGAAATAATGGTAAAGTCTGGTTTTATTGATGCAAGTTATTCAAAGGGGTATTTAAAACATGGACGTATAAAATGGATACATCATTTTTTGTAGGAAAACTTTTTATTCGACAACAAAGAATGAGAAAACGCGTTTTTTGGCATTCAGTCTAAAGTGTTGGCAGGAACGGAAAAACTCTTCAAATAAGATTTTCAGGTATTTATGAGACCTAAAGAATGAGACCACACGTAAAAATATCCACTAATAGTATAAAAGTTATGGCCGAAAACCGAGGCAAAATGCAGGCTTCGGCACTTGTGGCTAATTCGATGATAATTTCAGGCAGCTACTTGAAATTCTTCAAATCCGTAGGCTTCATACTTCTAAATAACCACAACAAAATTAGCGTTGATTGGTCAAGTTTATCCCAAAACTCGTTCAAAATACACGAATTTACCTTGCCGATGTGAATCACAAACCATTCCGAAAGATAATAATTGTTATTTTTATGCGAAAAACGAAGTTTTTTCTTCTAAATAAATTGAAACATTTCGAAAATGTAAGTAACTGAACAGATTCGCACCGATATTCGAAAAACGTACGTTATAGACTTTTTAAAACAAAGCGTATGTGTTTTGTCTTGAAGAAAACATTTTTTTTTCAAGATTTCTTTATACTCTTGGGTAAACGTAACCCTTCGTTTTTCGCATAAAAATAACAATTATTTTTCGGAATGGTTTGTGATTCACATCGGGAAGGTAAATTCGTGTATTTTGCTATAAAATGCCCTTTCAACAAACACTGCATATTGCTCAGTAAACTAGTAGAGTGATGGCCGGAATACAGGTATTTTAGGATAGATAGAAATTCTCAAAAACTACTTGATCAATCGACTCCAATTTTGTTGTGGTTATTGGAAGTATGAAGCCTACGAAGTAGCTGCGTAAAATAATCGTCGCATTAGCCGCAAGTGCCAAAACCTGCATTTTGCCTCGGTTTTCGTCCATAACTTTTTTACTATTAGTAGGAACTTTTTACGTTTGGTCTCATTTTGTAGGCCTCATGATTACCTAAAAATCTTATTTGAAGAGTTTTTTCGTTTCTGATAACACTTTGAATTGAATACCAAAAAACATGTTTTCTCATTATTTGTTGTCGAATAAAAAGTTGATCACAAAAATTGGTGTACCCATTTTATGCGTCAGTGTTTTAAATACCCCGACTTTACAATTATTTGAGAGAAATTTGCTAAAATGATTAGACTAACCACCATTGATAAGCAACAACTACAATATCATTTACTTTTACTTCAGTCATACTGAGTTTGTCTATTAGTATGCCACCTGTATGTTTTGAAACTGTGTTTACTCTTACAACACCATACTTATGAATATCAATCTCCATATCTTCAATATCTTCTGTAATATGTGTTTCAGTCAAGCAAATAACTAATGGTTTCACTGATATTAAAAAATTTATAACTTCATCCCTGTGTGATAAAAATCCTTGTATATTTATATGGTATACATAGTTAGTTATTTATTTTTTGCCCTGTAATTGCTATCTGTCACTATAAGGAACTTTATTGTTTGACTTTTCATATTCGATTTGGTCCATGTTGCAGGTAGAGTGGAAGGATGAACGATTTATATCGAAATTTGTATTGTACTTCAACTTCAACAATTTGGACATGTTATTTCATCTTTTGATAATGCCCAGTTCTGGGCCTGATGATCACTATTACCAAATTTTAAACAAATACAGTTAAAACATCTCAGAAGATCGTAATGCTCAAAAATTGTACAAACATCCATGGATACAAACAACACTCCTGCTTTCATTAGTTACAACTAAATGTCGATCTATCCAATTCCAAAATTGCCAAATTGCCATATGCCGAAATTTAATTTTTTTAATTGCCACTACTTCAATCGAAGAATTCACTATTTATAACGTTGTTTCTCACTTCTAAGTCTCTAAACAATTCTTCACTGTTTAAAAGTCTTCACTGAAACCCACGATCTTAATCATTGGTAATTTTTTATGGCCTACATTTACTTTATAAGTCTGTCCAGCACTTTTTTTTATGTCCAATTTTCATTTTATGATATAATCGATATCTCAATTTTCAGTGCTCCATCTTTCAGATTGTTTACGTTTTTTATAGACACATTCTTTTTTGCTGGATTTATATACGTGCTCAATTCCTTTTTTGTTTGCGTGATTTGTATTAATAGGTTTAATGACAATTATATTTTCCAGTTGTGTTGTTGTGTTTTTATTTTTAGTATATTTTACCATCTTTTGGAGATGGCAAAGTAACGTTGGTCTTTGTATTTTCATGTGAACTATTGACCATGCCTCCATAAGACTTACTGTTATTTGCACATGTATTTTGTAAATTCTCAATTTGTTTATTTAGTTAATCTATTTGTTGATGTAGTTCTTTTATTAGTTTTTCTTGTATCGAAATGGTATATTTTTTTTTCTTTAAAATGGCTGTTACACAAAATCCTTTTTATTCTTGTGATACATTCACCTCACTTGCTTTTTCGCCACTTTCAGCCTCATCTTTATCAGTCTCCATAAGGTACAACTCGATATTTATTCAAGAAAGAAGTTGACCCAGAAAACCTGAGAGCAATGCCACTAATACGTCTCAAAATTAAATATCCGTAAAACTTCCAAAAAGTCGTTTCAATTATTGGTTCAAATTTACCACTGCTCACCAGTGGCCTCCATTATTCTATATATATATTTTTTTTTCTTTAAAATGACTGTTACACAAAATCCTTTTTATTCTTGTGATACATTCACCTCTCTTGCTTTTTCGCCACTTTCAGCCTCATCTTTATCAGTCTCCATAAGGTACAACTCGATATTTATTCAAGAAAGAAGTTGACCCAGAAAACCTGAGAGCAATGTCACTAATACGTTTCAAAATTAAATATCCGTAAAACTTCCAAAAATTCGTTTCGATTATTGGTTCAAATTTACCACTGCTCACCAGTGGCCTCCATTATTCTAGATATTATCGCCAGTAGCAAACAATCTTCTCTGGAATCAGCAAATTCCATTTTTAGAACTACCTAATGTACTTTTAGTAAACTAGACTTGTTTCTGATTATATATTTATATGTTTTAAATTGACTCAATCCCAAGAACTTGAATTATATCCCTCAGCACAATGAATCTCAGGTGGCTTATTTTTCCAGTTTGTTAAAAAATGTCTACGTATTCATTTGGATCATAAAGAATAATATGAAAAAATAAAGCAGTACAGTACCCGTCTATGAAACTACAAGTCCCCAAAACATGCTTTAAAAAATGCCATACATCACAATGCTCTATCAGTGATCTCCTGATCCCTGAAAATGACACATTTAACCGATATTTGACTCATTTAGTTCCACAAGGGCGGGCTATGTCTTTCTTCTCCTTCCACTATTCAAGCTTACAAAAACTATATTACTTGGCCATTAAGCTGAACATGAACCCATCTGAACTAGTGGTAATGAAACCATTTTCTTCTAGAATTATTCGCAGAGACGAACCGCAAATGCGCTGAACTACGGGAGATTTTAAAGGAATCAGACGAGGCATTGCATTATGTCCGAAAACTAGAAAATATTGACGTCCATATGCTGAGGTTGGCAATAAAGACAGAAACATGGCCTGGGTCATTAATCCAGTGTTGGCTGGAAGTAACGTTAATTGGTAATCCTGGCTGTCCCACCAACGTGTTGGCAGAACAGCTGCAAATATTCAAAACGCTCAAAGGGTACAGCAATGCGAGACTTTATGCTGAGTTGATGAGAGGTGAATATCAATCAGATCCAATAATAAAAACTCTAGCATGTTTCAGCAGTCTCATTTCGTGAATATTTACCTCGTTAAAAAGTAACATCATCAGTTATGTTTTTGCACAGGTAGCTTGCTGTCACTTTACAATGTCAGCCAGACGTCTCAGGAAAGCCAAAGAAGTGCATTCGCTTTTTTGAAGGTACCGCACATACTAGTATCTTTGACAGGAGGTAAACCAGATACAAATAATGTAGTACAAGCAGTAGAACTGATGCTTCAACATAGCCCTCTTCTTGATGCAATGGATGCTATTGGCACTTCCTCAAGCTTCAAATGTTTATTGGATGAACTAGCTAAGTCAAGACTGCTTACAGAATCACAAGTGAGTATATTACATCAAACTTCCACTTCCATCATTCAGCAGTTTGGGGTCATCCACATTTGACCTTTTTATCTATACATTTTTGATTCTTATATTATTTAAACCTTGAAATGTTATCTTCTTAAGGATGCCCAATACCCTCTTATATTTCTATGTAAAACATTTTATCTGAGGACACCGGGACATTCAAGGAACATCTCAATTTATTAAATCATCATTTCCATTTGTTTATTTTCTATCAGTGATGACTTATATGTTTTGTAACAATCAGAGGTTTAATTTGATCCTTGATGGTAGGAAGTTTCGGATCAAAATTAATAACTCTGTCAATAACACGGCCCATCAAAGCCCATGTCCCTCAGGGTTCGGTTCTTGGACCAATCCTTTATTCGCTTTTTATTCATCACGTCCCTTGACCCAGCAACTGTTCTGGGAATCTGATTCACGACAGGCTTCAAAATGCCATGGACAAGGTACTGTAGTGTAAACAATTACGGGGACGTTGAGTGATGATCGTTCCTGCAAAGGTTTAAAAACAAAAAAATCGGCGTGGCAGCGGGAACGGCAACACCTTCATTATGTTACCTGGCTCTGATGTTTGGACCTTCACGCTGCCCCCATTTTTCTTAGTAATAGAAGCAGAAGAAAGAGAACTGAAGACACGCCCTTTGACTGACTCAGAAATATACGTTACAATTCTCAAGGTCGCGCTTAGAACTTTGGAGCCTTACGTCTCTGAGAAAATGCATATCAGTACAATATATTGAATGAATATTTGAAAAACATTGAGTACTGATGTTTGTGATGAGTGATGCCATTAGTTAAATATTTTCTAGGTGAAAACACTCTTGGAGAGTAGAAAACCTCCCCCACTTCTGAAAGCTGAATCAGGGCCAGGCGGCAGTGGAATGTCAAATTATTGGTATATCTGTGCTGAGTCAACACTCTCAGGAATCTTGAAGACGCTTAATTCTGATTATCACAAAATTCAGGTATGTCTTCATTGTACCACGGCCTGTAACTATATCCAAACTATGTAAGAACTTTGCGTACATGTACATGTTTCATATGTTTAGATGTCAAAGCCGTTTGTCTAGCAAAACATCTTGGATTGTTTCGTTTTGGTTTTGATTTTCTTTCCTGTTTCATCGCAACAATCTTTGTATTTATAGCAGAACTCATTAAATAATGCTAATATTTATTTTAGGACGCCCTTCTTGGTATGCTACATACCGTCCTAACAGGTAAGAGTTTCGAGTTGATTCTAGCAGTAACAACAGTCAAAGGACAGTTGCGCAACTTGGTCAACAGCCTTATTAGATTCAACGAGTGGTCAAAATCAGGCAGCGATAAAGCTAGGTCCCAGCTATTTGACATCACTTTTGTAATGTTGGTGGCTATTGTACAGAACTATGGCTCAACAGCTGTACTAGATGAGAATGGAGACTCACTGTTTGAACAATGGGTTAGAGCATGCATGGTGGAGAGACAGAGGCCCAAAGCTCCAGAGCAGATGCTTAAGCTAGGTAAGTAACGTAAGTTAACGATATGAGATACTATAGTCGAGAGGAATTAGCAGCCGGCAGATCTTAAGAACAAGAATTCATCAAATTTAAAAAGTTCATCTTGTGCGTTCATAAAGTTCGATATTGTATATAGATATGGGACGCTGTCCGTCGCAAAAAAGAATCTAAACATGAATCCCTGTTTATTTCTGCGATACCTAACAGCTTTTAAATTACCCCGACTACAATACCAATAGAAAACTCTAAAAATTTAATTGAATATTCTTCTGCAGGTGATTCTGCTGTGATAGAATCTCTTCTAGAACAATTCAACACAGGCGAGTCAGATTTTAAACCAGGTGTGAAGTGGCAAGAGGTCCTTTTCAACATACCGGGAGTGATGAAAGAAGTCTTGGTCGCATGGGAACAAGGTGCTCTGGTAGCTCAGGATGTCAAAAGGATTCTAGATGCTGTTAGAGGAAGGATGTGCTGTTTGGCTTTGGCTGCGGCTGCTTGGTACGTGGATAATTAAAAAATGCGCCATTCTTAGAATACTACTGATACTAATTTGGTGGTTCCACATAATTGACACTATTATATGAATATCATGGTGGCATGGTTCTGCAATGGTTACATACTCATATAGCCAATCTGATATTTTTCTTATGCTTGAATCACCACGCAGACCAAATACCCTTTGGTGCCGTAGGGCTATAGGGGTTATAGGGGAAAGGCAGGAACAGCCAAGGAACACGTGTTCATGTGACATTCTGGTTCGGCCTAGAAGATCCGGCGGGTGGTACCTCCACGCTCAACGGCCTGAGACCTTCCACCGCTTACGGAATACATGACAATGATTCTGGTGGGATGGAACAATTTTGCTCTTTTCATAAATTGTTCTCTTCCGCACGCATTAGTATTCAAGTTAATGTGTTTCCTTTGTTTTCAAGGCTTTGCTCATACATGCGAACCGCTCCACAAGATACCCTGTTAAAACCTGCAAACATGGTCCAACAGCTTTTAGCCCCACCAGCTGGCGAATCAGTGGAAGATAGTCTTCGTGATAGGTAGGAATGATTGTAATCCTAAATTTGAACCAAGTTGGTCGGTTAGCGGTCATCCTGTAGTTTTTAGAATTTCAAATATATCCGTTTCTTTTAGGATTGGCGCGCATAGATATTCTGTTATGGATGTCCGGTAAATAGTACGACAAAAAATTGGGGAAGATAATCGAAAGGCAGATCAACAACATACCAAAAAATGACCCTCTTTAAAGTTTTTGAGATATTTTTTTGTCTTTTTCGAATTTTTTAAGAACGTTATTTTACCTTTCTGAAGTCCTGATTAAGCAGGTAATTTATCGCAGTACTTTGCTGTAGCAATAAAATAGTTTTCTAAAATAAAATTTTTGAAGAAGAAATTAGTTTGTCAAGTTAACCTACTTGTATTTATCGAAAATAATATTTCAAATATCAGACCAACTATCTGAGAATATTTTGCAAAAAAAAAATCAAACGGATATCCTGTTATATCTAGGCACAGCAACAAAAGAGGTTTTTTTTAAAAGATAAAAAAATGATCACAAAAACTAATGATACTTTTACTAGGGTCATTTTTTGGTATGTTGTAGATCTGCCCTTCGCCTAACGTCCCTATTTTTTTGTCTTGCTATTTACCGGACACTGTATGTAACATCCTAAAGCAGTTCTGGTAGACCTCTTTGTGGATTGAGAAACCAACAATGCATCGACAGTTGAACCCAATCGCTTAGAATAGTAAAACTTGATAATGATAAGAGTAGACATATCAGGCCTTTAAACAAGTAGCGATGCTTCCTTATTTCATATCCATTATTTTCACATTCTTGAGAATGAATTTACTCTCTTGGATAAAAAATATAGCTTGATTACTATTTAGTAAACACCTGTAAATACGTTCTTCGTGATGATAGACCATGTAACCTGTTATTACAGGTGAAAACGTTCAACTCTTCTCAACTGGACCAAATTTTATGTATTAACTCTTACCACTATGTCATGCTTAACTTCGAGTTTTTACAAGTGTTACAATTACTGTATTATAACAACCCTTTGAGGCCAGGTTTATCTTTTTATTATGAAATCATTTTATTGTTATAGATATGTTGAATTAGTACTAGTGAGTCTAATATAACCCTTCCAATGGTCAAACAGTATGTTATCACCAGTATTAGACAAGTGGTCATCATTTATTTGCAAATCTTAGATTTTTTGGAATCAAGTGATATACTCCCAGTACATCAGTGTGGGTTTAGAAAATCATACAGTACTACAACTGCTCTTCTTAATTTAGTGGACAACATCATCAGGGCCCTTGATAAAAAATGTGTGTCGCCTTAGTATCACTGGATTTCTCCAAGGCCTTTGATAGAATTGATCATGCACTAATGTGTGCCAAGCTAAAATTTCATGGTTTTGATAAAATAGCACTGCAGTTTTTCAAATCATGCCTAACCTGCCGGTCTCAATTTCTGGAGTTTTGTCAAATGAGCACTTTATTACTTCTCGTGTGCCTCAGGGCTCAATTTTAGGACCTTTGTTATTTTGAATTTATGTAGACTATATTGCTAAGTCCATTCAAAATTCGCAGCTACAGTCATATGCGGATGACACTCAACTGCTTTACTTCTTTTATCCTGAGAACCTCCAGACTGCTGCTATGAAAATTAACGAGGACATTGACTCTATTTGCATTTACTTAGCCAACAGCAACCTAACCGTTAATGCTTCTAAATCTTCTGCTGTGCTGTTTTGTCCAAACCACGGAAGAGCTGAAGTCAAAGCTTGCTTCTTTAAGTATATGTATTAATAATCGGAATCTTCCTTTTTCTGAAAGTGTCAAGTTCCTAGCTTGTTAATTGATGAAAACGTGCGGCTTCGTGAATATTTAAATAACTTCTTACAAAGAACTCATATCCGTGTAAGAACCCTGTATGCGAACAAAAATGTGCTGAATTTCAAGGTGCGAAAAAAGTTGTGTGGATATTTTGTGTTATCAATTTTTAATTATCGCAGTCTAGTTTATTATCCTTGTTTAGATGTTGCGAGTTGTAACAGAATATCTCTTGTACAAAATAACTACATACAGTTTATATTTAGTTTAAGAAAATTTGACCATGTTTAATAGGTTGGTTAAAGATTACATATTTCGTAAAATACAATCGTAAGTTACTTGTCTCTGGAACTCCAATTTATTTACGTGAAAAACTAATTTTTAGGTACAGTGTTCATCAACGGCCTATCCGTAACACATCCTCTTTACCAATGCCCCTTCATAGTTCACCTCTTTTTAACTGGTCATTCTCATATAAGGCATGCGTGTTGTACAATAGCTTAGATTATAGAATTAAAAGCCTGCCTCTATATAGTTTTAGAAAACATTTAAAAGCTCTTCTGCTCAATGGTGTTTCTTAAAGGTGTTTTTCTCCAGCTTGCATTTTTATGCTAACCTTTGTTTAGGTTGTGATCAGTTTCATGCGCATTTTCCTCATTTTAATTTATTTACAGCTGTACTTTTCTACCACCTATTACTTTTATGAAATAAATGGTTAAGTGTTAGAATAGCTGTCATAGCTAAACTTCGCCATTAAACTGCTCACTAATCTAATTATAGGTAATATGCATTATCTGTAATTTGTTTTTTTAATAAAAGACGGTTTATTATTATATGTACTATAAATGGCACAATTCATTGCCTTGATGATGCCTATCTATTGAAAGAGATTCGGCCTGTTACTAAACTTCTCATTCTCCAATTTGCCAAATCAGACAGCCATTGATTGAAGTATCTTCACTGCGTAACACTAAGCCGATCCTGCCATTTACACTCCATATGATGCCTCAGCTGTGTAATATTCATTGTAACATACTGTAAGTTTGATACCAATGTTCAAATGAGTGAGCAGCTAAAAGGTCCCCTTATTCGATCGAATTTGGCAAATCATCTATTGCTATGCACGATATACAAAGTCCCCAAGTAGAACGTTTCCATGATGTGCATGTGAGTATACCTACTATTCCCAAAAGCTGAGCTATTTTGTTGTATCTCATTTCATTGCTGACAATAAGCCTGAATCAATTATAGACAACCAGTAATTATTGTGGTTCTGACATTCGACGATCCGAACGCACACAAGCAACGCCGATATTTTCATCGGTGCTTGAAGGTGAAGGCCTTCCGCTTCGTGGTTCATCTTCAGTCGACTCTCTACCTTTCGAAAACGCCTTAAACCAACAAAAGCCTGGGCTCTTGACAAAACACTATCTCCGAGGGCCTGCTGAAGTTTATCAAGAGTTTTTGCACTGAGCCCAAGTCTAAAGCAAAACGATAGCACAACATTGCTCGAAATTGATGTCATTCATTTTTAAAACAAAAAGAAAAACTTCACAAAAATGTCCCTACGGACAACCAAATGACTCGAGCGAGTTCAGTACAAGTTTGAACTTGTACTGAAGGCGGATCACATGGTCCCCTGACTCCCCTCTCAGCCCGACACCTCCAGTGTCCGATAGAAAGCTACGTTGCCAGTCTCATCATTTAATTTACAGACCTCGAATGTTTGTTATGTGTGGGACAAATCTTCATCATTTCCGTAGTAACCCCTATGATATGTGTATCAAATGAAAGGGCTTGATAAGAGAAACACATTAAGCAAAGTGACGTCTTTCTAAATCCAACATGGCGACCATCGCAAAATGGCGGTGTACATATTTCATAGTCACCCCCAACGATATGGGTATCAAGTCAAAGGTCTTGATGTGGGAACATAATAAGCGTCATTCTAGATCCAATATGGGTGCCGTCGCTAAATGGCGATGTATAATTTCCGTGGTATGATATGGGTATTAAGTGAAAGGGTTTAATGAGAGAAAAAGCATAAGCAAATAACGTCATTTTAAATTCCATATGGTGATCGAAATTTTATAGTACAAATAAAGTAAGAAGCTTTATCGAGTCATATTTAATAAAACATATGAAAGATTTAAATATATATATATATATATATATATATAAAATGAACTTAACACTTGAAAATAAGTTTTTCCGATTCGAAATATTTAAACTATGAAGATCGTTCACCTCAAGTTTTTGCATAAAAGAATGCTAAATCTTGACAGCAAGATGTAAAATACAGTAACTCGCTTTTATTTGAACAATTGAGATGAAAGAGCTGCATTATTATATTAAAATTAAAAATGTTTCTTGTAATTTATTTATTCTATCAATTAAATTTTCACCAATTGTTTCCTCAAATCTAGGTGGCAGCTAACATGTGACATCGTACGCCGCATGCAAAGGGATGTTCCTCCTTGCATGCCACCTGCGACAGCTGCTGCTAAGACTGGGGCTACTGGGGAACAGTTGGTAGGAAGAAGACCTGCGTTGGATGAATTGAAGGCTGCATGGACACAAGCGATGCGCAAAGGCGCATTAGACCATAAACCAGCTAAGACTTTGAGGTGTTTGCTCGACACAGCAGGGAGTAGATGGTTGGGTAAGTGGTTATTACCATACAGATTAAGTATATCAAAAATATCAAATGTTGAAAAATATAGTCTACAACGTCAAAACCATTCCATTAGAGATAAATATTTACTAATAATTGCGGAACCACGGTTTTTTTTAGTATTTTATAATCCCTTTAAGGGACTATCAGAGATAAATACAGACATTTATAATCATCCACTGAAAGAGATTACCAGATCAGTGTCGGATTATTTCTAACAAATTACTGTAAACAGCTCACCATCTAATCAGGGATGAAGTCATTTAATGCTAGTCTCACCGGTTCATAGACCTGAAAACGTACGAGGCTAGAAGCGTTATCATTCCTGATATACAATGTCAAATCATGAAATCAAATGAAAATCTGATATTATTTTTTAATATTCCTACATATGCACTCATAGACTTTAGATCTTTATGTTTTCAGTATCGGCGGTGATCAACGAACTTTTGAAGCTGCGCTATAAAGATCAGTTGCACAGAGGCGTAGACCTAGCTTTAGCCATTTTCCACGTTGACATTGCCGGTTGCACTTGGCAGTTGTTATCGCATGTGCTTCCCCAACTTCTATACAACGACCTACAAGCTGATAGTCTAATGGAACCTCAGTTGCCAGCTTTAGCATATCTCACCAGTTACAGTGTCTATACGGCATGGGAAGCTCTCGGAGAGGTGATTTTCCATTTTCAAACTTGTCAGCAATATGTAACAAAAAAACCTAGAAATATATCTAATATACCAAAGCATTAATCAATGCATTTCAATTACATTGCTGTTTTCATTTCCATTTAGGACAGTAGTAATGGTGAACCATTGCCAAAACAGCAGAGATTGTCTGAAAACCTGGACATGGATTCAAAACCGCGTGATCAACTGTTGAGTTCACTTAGTCAGCTATTGTACATGTTCGAGGGAGGAATTCAAGAGGGAGCCATTACACAGCAGACTTATTTTGCATTTCATCTGATCAAAGCATTGGTTGAGGTATGTCTTTCTTCTTCTTTATACACACAATACACAATTTAAAAAATACTCTTTGAGGAGTCAACCTTTATGTTGAAGGAATCACCGTGTAGTCTCCTGATTTTTCGTAAAGCTATGTTGTAAAGATGTACTCCTATGACGTCTCTACAATATATACGTTTGTTGGTGGCACAATTCTTCGTTTGGGATGTGTGATTTTTTTCTGTTTTAAGGAGTCGACATTAAGGTCCACAGGATCACCCTGTATCGCCATGATTTTTCGCAAAGCTATGAGGCAGGACCTCTACAACATATATGAGTTTGTGGTGGCACAATTCCTCACTTGGGTTCTGCGATTTTTTAAGTTTAATGTATACTTATTCGTTCGTGTCTTTATCGGAATCAACCTGTATAACCCTAATTTAGTTTGACAGGTATGTGATATTTACCTGATAACAGTAGGAGCGACATGTACAAAATTATTTTTGGTATTTTGCGTATTAAAATAGTACACAAGGACCTGTTCTCATTTTCCCGGAGTAATTTGTTTGTAGCCGCCAGGGGCTGAAAATAACAGTTTTTTACAATATCGGCGATTTGAGCTCACTGCTCATGAACAACTTCAGAGACGTCCTTTTTCGGACTTCCTCATCGGACTTATTTGAAAATGCAATATACAGGGCGGACCAGAAAATGACTATATTTTAGAGCAAAAAATAAATCCAAAAATAACAAAGTTGCTATTTGCTGAGTGCGCGATAATAACGCCTCCTAGTGGATCTCGGACAGAAATATTTGTGCTTGTTACGTGCAATAGAAAATAAACGGATATTGATGATTATTTCCCTCGTCTCAATTTCTACCAATCACAAACGCGCAATTTTGAATTATATATGGTTTCTAGATGGAAAATTGTATGACAGCACCTGTCAGCACAATACCTTTGTTAACAAGTAATTATGGTCTCATAGGACCCCAGAAAACAACGCTAAGCAATTTTTCTGATTTTGTTGTCAATAAATTTTGTAATATTGTTTTTAAACAGTGCTAGTCAGCTTATGTAGTGAAAAGGAGTCGCTTTGGAAGTGATTCTTTGACTAATATTAATCTGGCGATTAAGAAAAGTGTATTGTAATTAAATAAATTACCGATTGATCAGTTTATTTAAATAACATTTAGTAGAGTTGAGGTTAGGACCAATTTGAATTTGAAACTGACGAATTCTATTTTGATCGAACAAATGGTGACAGCAAAATATGCCATATGTCCGATGATGTTTTTCTTTTTGTCCATCCCGTGCGCGGCAGTCGATTCAGTTGCTCCCACTATGCATTTTGCTCTTAGCGAATCAATAATCTTCTAAAATATTCCATTACCAAAATCTAGGATACTTTAAATGGGTGCGCCACTGATAAGGCCGAACAAGTACAAAAAATTAATAGTGTTCAAATAACGATACAGCGAGATAGAATTACTTTACTACTTACAACGTTCAATGTTAAACTTCACTAACTTCAATGTATTTACAAAGTCAAATATTCAAATCAATTTTCCCCAAAAGCAAATAATTTCTCACGAGAGGCGATTCATGCAAAATTGAATCCCTTATTCAAACATCCAACAGATAACAAAAAATCAGTGGCTTAGAAAATTTTCGTTTCTCCAGTGGCGACGCGTGACTTTTCCTAAACTGTTGACAAAAAAAGTTTATTTTCAACCTCCCAAATATAAGTTTTTGCTTATTTTAGGTGTTTTATTTAAACTATTTTTAAATTAAGGTAAACATTCCTGAACTGAGCGTCTGGGGCACTTTACATACGTAGTCGTGCCATAAGTTCTGTCCCATGATAATCTCATGATAAAAATGAAACAAGATAAGATATATTTATATGAAAGATATTATTTATTCGACAACATTTTTAGAATTCATAATCAAACAGTTTTATTCAAAATGTCCCCCTTTGGCCTTCACACACTGCTTCAATCTCGCGGGCCACTCATCTATCACTGCACGCACAGCTTCCAAAGAAATAGCTGCCGCTGATCGGATCAAATCCGCTTTCAGGGACTCGATATTACGGTGAGCTTTGGAGCAGGCCAACTGCTCTAGCAGGTCCCACAACTTGTAGTCTAAAGGATTGAGGTCCGGACTCCCTGAGGGCCAATCTTCCGCAGCAATGAACTCTGGCACATTGCTTTCCAGCCAGCGCTGCGTACTCTTAGCCTTGTGAGCGGGGGCGGAATCCTGCTGGTAGACCCAGTGTTGGTTGGCAAACAATGTACCACTTAAAGGCTTGACGATAGGATCCAGTATGTCGCTCTGATAGTTTGCCGCTTTTGTTTTCACGCCCTGTTTACAGAAATGGAGCTGAGTGACCCCTTCGTAGGACACCCCCCACCAAACCATGACTGACGCAGGGTGGTGGCCTCTCTCAACTCTCGGAATGATCTCCGAAGCTTCCTGTGAACTCCTTGCATACACTTTGTCATTTTGTCGGTTGAATTTTTCTTCTATGGTGAAGATTTTCTCATCCGTGAACAAAATCTTTCGGAATCCCCCAGCTGCGTACCTCTCCAAGAGCTTCTTGGATCTTGTCGCCCTGATGTGTCGCAAGGTGGCCGTAAGTCGCTGGCCCGTACGTCTCCGGTAAGCCCCTAGCCCTAGGTCTTGTTTAATGATGCGCGACATCGTCCGGACAGGAATCTTCATTTCCCTGGATAGGATCTTCTGCTTCCGGAGTGGATTCCTTTGAATCCTGGCTTTTACGGCTTGGATGGCTGCTGGAGTCCTTACTTGACGAGGTCTTCCGCTTCTTGGCCTGTCATCAACAGAGGACGTCTCATTGTACCGCTGAATGGTCCTAGACACAAATTTACGCGATATTTGAAGGCCGCGTAAGAGTTCAAAAATCTGACTAGCACTGTGATTACACTTATGTAAAGCTATCACTGCAATACGGTTCTCTGCCTTGCCCCACTCCATCGTTATGCTTCGAGAGATCAATACAAACTGAGGTATATGTAATTACCCGAAAAGCGCTTAATCAACTGACACCACAATGTAAACAATCGGACAAGTATTAACAGGTCTACACTTGTTTGAAAACGAGGGACAGAACTTATGGCATGACTATGTATATATACCTCATCGTCTTATGCTACGACTAATCCAAGCTGTCCGAAAAAACAGTCGACGTTTCTAGATGTTGATCTTTTTTGGCAATGAATGTTAACAATTCCCTGTAATTTCCTCTATTGTCAGAGTCATCTCCTTCAAAATGAACGGTAATTCCTGTATTGCCAAAAAACATACGGTATCTAGAAGTGTGCTGCCTAAAAGCTTGGTTAAGACAACTTTCGATTCTTGTTTTGCCAAAATGAATTAAATTGGCTACACATCTCACATGTAACGGAAAAATTTCATGTCTCCTCTTTAGAGCTCTAAAACTATTTAAATCGTTGACTCCGCTGCTGGTCAACCCATTTTTTTCTGTATAAAACAGAAGACATCGCCAACAATACAATCTATTTTTTTGCAACCACATAACCAAGAGTTTCCATATACCAACTTAATTTAAAATATAAAACTACGTTTTTTATACCTTTTGAAAATCATCTAAAATAGGTGTTGGTCTTCCATTTTCAATGATGTCCTTTTTTTCTTAAAAATTATACAAGGAGAATGACTTTTCAAGTAGTTGATCGATTACGCAGCGACACTCATCCATCTTTAATTGCACGCACACTACAGCCGGTAACCAAAACGGCTACTAACGAGTGAGAAGTGAGTAACCAAATCAAAAAATGGTAACAAGCCCACATAATAGTCGCAGCGCCCCACGCACTCGGGCGGCCGCGATCAGACACGAGCCGGTACCGGCGGTCCCCGACGGACTAGCAAGTGTAACAACCGACAACCAAGTCGAGGCGAGTCAGCTTCATTATGTTCGCAAAACCAGACATTATAGGGCGCATTATTTTCGTGTGGCTAATTTGCTATTTACTGAATTACTATTACATATCGCTCTTTGTAAACAAATAAATGAAATTATTTCACAGTACTTAGTCATAAAATATTTATTTTTAAGATTTTTAACTGTTACCAATGGTAACAGTGGTTACATGGACGCTTCGCCACTGCGTTTTTCCTCTATAGGGATCAACATTTCCCGAATTCTACGCCACTGGTGGAGTCTCAGGCACCAACAGCCTGGCTACTCTGTTGGTTCTAGATATACAAAAATTTAAGTCAGTATCTTAATCCACTCCACATCTTGGTGAGAGGACTTCTTGGGGCCAATGTTTATACGAACCTTTTCTGTAATTTTTTTTATCTTAGTTCAAGCCCTAGAAATATTGCCTTTGTTTTCTGTGAATATATTGTTTTCCAAGACAGTATTGTAATGAAACCACCCTTTTTACTAATCTCCCATGTGTTTTTATTGACCAGTCAAGCCTGGGGGATTTACGATATGTAAGCCACAGGATAAGTCTCAGATGTTGCATTTACCGTTTTTACTGTTCATAGTCTACGAAGGTGAATCAAATATGAACCAAACTTTTGTTTTAGTTATTTTATTGGTATAGTAAATACAAGTTTTTTTACATCTTATTTTTCTACGTAATCTCCTCTCTTATTGATGCAGTTTTCCCGTCGGATCGGAAGTTTTTTAATTCCCCCATCAAAGAATGAAGCTGATCGTGTCAGTAGCCAATTGTGCACGAACGTTTCCACACCTTCGTCGTCGTCAAAGTGGTGACCTAACAGGTCTTATTTAATTTTGTGCAATTTTTCTTGGTGTGTGGCCGAGCATTGTCATGGAGCAGAATGGCACTTCGAATAGGTATGTCTCTTCTTTTTCGCCGATATGCCAGTTTCACTTCTTTATGCGGTTGTCAATAGTAAGCAGCATTAACTGTACGGCGATCGTGAAGAAAATCAACTAGCAGTACACCTCTGGAATACCAAGATACCGTTGCAAGAAATTTTCGCGTAGAAAGACTGGTCTTGGCTTTTCGCGATGGTGCCTCTCCAGACTTTCGACACTCCGTGGAACATTTTTTTGCCAGTCGTATACTTGTGTCCTTGAAACTGTCTTATCGCCGAACGGTGCTGTTAATCGATGAAAAATTTCGGAAGGTTTTACACCCTCCCGTTAAAAAAAAATTATGATGCCTTGCGCAACAGACGTGTGCAACTCTTGCTCAGACCTAATGCTACTAACAGCTCATCTACTTCGCCAAACCGACTGACTCCCCTCTTCCTGACATCCCCACCCAACATATACCAATACGTCTCCCCAGTCCATTCACCTATGGCGCGTTAAACAGAAAAGTCCGGTTCATATTTGTAATATATTACTCTGACACCAGTTTATAACACATGCATCTAATAATTTTTGTCAAATTTTTGAACATGTCGACTGGACTGTAGCTTCTGTGTCGTCGACTGAGTCTGACTGCTTCTGCCATTCGGTCGGGTAATTTCTTTCTAACTTCAATTGATCAATTAGAGAAGCTCCAGAGATACCGCGAACCTTGATCAAAGTTAAAAATGGCAGTAGAGATTCATCTTATGACGCCGAACGCTCTCGATGTATGAGGATGTCTCGCTGGTGCACAGAGTTCCAGTTATACTTAACATATATATATACTTATACGAGGGCGTTACAGCTTATACAGTTTATATCACAATGCTGAATTCATGGAAAAATAACTTTGTTATATAGGTGAAAACCGAGCCTTCCAGTGCAGTTTTGGCCGCTATCCCACCTGTACTGATCTCAGATCTTCTGAAGACTCTACCAGAGCTATTCAGCTACCCTCTTTTACTACACATTCATGATGTTTGTGCGAGTGCAGGAAGAATCAACATGGCCAAAGATCTTTGTGTATTGAGAAATTATCATCTCAAGAATATATCAAATACTTAAATAAGTATATTTAAATTGTATAGTGAAAGTTTTAAAATACTGGTACTGTGAAGAATCAGGCGAACAAAAACGCCTAAGAAAAAAGTAGTAGCCAGATTATAGACCTTTCACTGCAGTATTTCATATCTATCTATAATAAAAAATGAAGCTTTTTATTGTATAATTGAGTAGATAGTACATTACATATCTAGTTTGAGACGCGGGCAATTTTTATAACATGAAGCTGACGCACGTTGCACTGAAGTATATAATGGACGAGACCAATAATGATCTTCTCAAACGTGGTATGTAAATGATTTTTGTCACTACTAGCACTATATAGCACAAAAATATTCGATTTTTCATCAATATCTTGTCGTTTTCAACTCACTAATACGTCAAAATAAGGGGCAGCTACTAGCTACATTTCTGTCGCACCCACGCAGAATATACATTAAGGACGTGTTTGATTGACTACAATTAAAAACAGATTTACAATGACAATGACCCCTAATATGCTTTGAGATTTTGTTAATGGATATTTGAAGAATTTTTAGGAACATGGCAACATAGTTTTTTCATATTGCTTTCTGGGTCGAAAATGCCAAAAACCTAAAAGTGCAACAAATAGGCAATTTCGTATGGACTGGTCCATCCAAGAAGGGTAGGGTACAAAGGTTTTATTTTCTTCATTAAATGCCATTTTCAAACAAACAAGCCGCTATACTCAAAATTACTTATTTCTCAATCATCCTAAGATATGTCAAATTGACACAATGAAGTTGACAGAATACAATTTCAAACGAGATTATTTATCTACGTGTTATTTTTTTGTTTATATTATTTACCTATAAAGAGAAATGCTACGTATCAATAAGGTCATTAATGGTGATTTCTAGGATTAGTAGTGATAAAATTCATTTTTATAAGTATTTTAATATCAGACTATTGTGAATTCAGCAGAAGTTGTAAAGCCCCTACAGTAAATAAACTGATGAATTTTAACTGTTTGTTGCAGTTTCCTTTGTTATAAAATATGGGAATTTGGTTGTGTGATGAATCAAATATAAATTAGAAGGTATAAAATTTTATTTTATAAATGCATAAGTAAATGGTTTCAATGTATAATTGATAATGATAAGGGTTAACAAATATACATACAATAATCCAGGAGACCCAAACGACAATAAATGATTTCACCATAATTCTGCATACAATAATTCAATTAATTTGCATATACTCTGAAAATTCAGAATTGTATTAAATGCTATAAGGTTTACTATAAAAAAGTTATTAATAGTACAAAAAACTTTAATGATTAACCAATCAAGAGAACAGTGATTCAAAATTGTATCGGCAATAGAAAAAATATTCAAATGTTTAATAAAATTCTAGATAGATATTTTGTTTTTTTGGAAAACATAGTATAGTTAGATACCTGAAAGGTAAATTGTATGGTTAGTTCTGGGAACTTTGTGGATCACAAAATATAATTTAGTCAAGATATATGAAATATGCCCAATTTGATGAATTTATCTCATTTGGAAATTATTGTTCATCCTTATCTTTAGCTCCATGCTTCAAGATACGAGTAAATTCAACGTAATCAAACAGTCCATTTTTGATTGGGGCCTCTCTATACATCTCATCAACCTCATCATCAGTGAACCGATCACCCATTGAAGTAAGAAGCTCCCTCAAACGTTCTTCATTAATTACACCAGAGTTTTCTTCATCAAAGCAACCAAAAGCATTCTTGATCACATCTTCAGGATCAGTGCCTTGAAGACGTTCTCCAAACAGTGTCAGGAACATTGTGAAGTTAATGGGACCAGGTGCTTCATTCATCATATGATCCAGATAGTCATCAGTTGGGTTTTTACCTGGAAGATGAAGGAAGTTTTGGGATATTATGTATGAAAGTTATAAAACGGTGGACATGGAATTTTAAAAAAACAAATGTTTTATAATTATCAGTTACAAGGGACAATTATTTATAATGGAGTAGTTTCGTAATGTTCAGAACCGCATAATTAATGACATACCAGCGAAATATAGATGAAATCTAATCAACCAGTGCAAAAATAATAATAATAATAATAATAATTTATTGGTACTATTACACAAAAATGTGTTTGCACAGGTCATTTAAAGTAGAACATAAAAGAGTAAGTAAAAGTAACAAACAATACGAAAATAAGACAAACGTAAAACACAAAGTGGCAATAAAAGGTAAAAAAAACTAGATAAAACTATTTTAAAATTTAGAGGAACAATAAAATAAGATGGTTAAAAAATTATGAAATACTAATCATTTTTTCATGTTTGTACTCAAAGGTCCTTACACACGTCTGGAGAACGATAAAATATAATACAAAAATAACACATAAAAAAAACAAACGAAAACAAAGTAATAAATAGTCAACAATTATGGAACAAAGTCGGTAAAATCATTATTTAAAAACTCATCTATGCTGTAAAAAGCTTTCGTCACTAAATATCTTTTCACAGTTGCTTTAAAAATGGTTGAGTTGAGTGTTTGACAAAACTTGGGCAGCGCATTAAAAAATTTCACACCGAAATAATTACTTCCGTGTCTAGTTTTTGAAAGTCTTGTGTACTCTGGTATTAATTCATTGTTGAACCTTGTGTTATATTTGTGAATCTCTTTCGGAGTTCTGTAATCATCGTAATTATTTTTAACGTGGATCAGACATTCCAGTATATATCTGCATGGCACAGTTAAAATTTTTAGGTCGATAAATGTCGTCTTGCAACACTGTCTGAAATATAAGTTTGCTATTATTCTCAAGCATCGTCTCTGAACAGCAAACACCTTCGATACATGACATGAATGTCCCCAAATCAGTATGCAGTATTGCAAGTTAGATTGGAAGTAAGCATAATAGGCTGTCATTAAAGTCGATTTTGTTACGTAGGTATTTAAACTACGTATCATATATGTTATTTTAGATAACTTCTTTGATAAAGAAGTGATGTGTGATTCCCAAGTTAAGCTTGCATCAATAATCACTCCAAGAAATTTCACGGGCTCTACTAAATCACTTCTATGTGGACGAGTACTGAGTAGAAGAGATTGAGTTTTCGCTATGTTGATTGACAAACTGTTGGCATTAAACCAGTTTTGAATGTTGTCAAAATGCTGCTGAGAATCGAGCAATACATGATCAAAGTTACTATTGGAGGATATTGATGTCGTGTCATCCGCAAATAATATATACTGATTGATGCTACAGTTTGGCAGATCATTGATGTAGATCAAAAAAAGAATCGGTCCCAAGACACTTCCTTGGGGAACTCCGTGCTTAATATGCACATTGTTGGATAAACAATTTTGAAAACTAACATACTGTCTTCTATCTGATAAATAAGACGCAATTAAGGACAGGCTATTATTATTAAAACCATACAGCGACAACTTTTGAATCAAAATGTGATGTTGGACACAATCAAATGCTTTTGTAAGATCATAGAAGTTAGCGAGGGCAAACATGTTATCTTCCAGACATTTGTTGATGAAACTGATAAAATTGTTTATTGCTGCTTTCGTTGATCTGTTGGTACGGTATCCAAACTGGTTGTTACAGAATAAATTGTTACCTTCGAAGTATTCACATATCTGATTCTTCAGAAGAATTTCGAAAATTTTTGCTATAATTGGTATTATAGAGATGGGTCTGAAATTACATGGATCATTCTCACAGCCTTTCTTGAAGAGTGGCACAATCTTTGCAAGTTTTAATAAGGCAGGAAAGACATTATTTTCTATACACATGTTTATCAATTTTGTTATAGGATATACTAACAAGTTATTTAAGGTCTTCATAATTTTAACATCGATGTCATATGGATCTTTACTTTTAGAATTCTTTAAGCTTTTGATTGCGTCTCGAACATCATTGAATGAAACAGTTCGAAAGTTGAAATGTAGTGTATCACTAGTCTGTATAAAATCTTTGAAGTTCGACTGGGTAGCTGGAATTTCAGCGATAATGGTATCAGCAATGCTGACGAAGAAAGAGTTTAAATCATTCGCGCTGAGAGTAGACGAATGTGCTTTTGATGATTGCACACCATTGGATTTAATCACGTTCCACATAGCTGCTTGTTTATCTGACGCTCTACGTATATATTTATCATGAGCATTTTTTTTCTTAATTCTGATTTCTGATCGGTACTTTGATTTGAAGACATTAATCTCCTTCTTTGATACTACTTGGGGATTATCTTTATTAATTTGTGTTATTAGTTCCAAAGTCTCTCTCATATGAGCCAATTCGTGATCAAACCAGTTGATTTTGTTGCGACAACCCTCTGATACTAACCTAGATTTGATTGGCAAGCACTCAGCGATATTATTTGTTAAGATGTTCATGAATCGTTCGAGTTTAGTGGTCAGTGGTAAACTAATATCAGACAAAAAGATCCAGTCGACTGTTTCAATTTTACTGTATAACTTGAAAAGACCTTCATCAGTGACAGGCCTGTAGTTTATTCTCTTCCTAACAGGTTTTAGAGTTTTCAAATTAAAATGAAATGCAATACCTAAATGGTCAGAAAAACATGTATCAAAGGCTTCTACAACTATGCTTGACATGTTTATATTGGTGAAAATATTATCTAGACAAGCATTCTGCCTAGTATTCACATTCACAGTCTGATACAGTCCAAAAGAAACACAAATATCACACATCACATTGGCATGCTTGTCGTGAGTGTTAAATTTAAAATTAAAATCACCAGATATGATTATATTTTGCTTATAGTCTAAAGTACTAAGTAGTATTTGAAGCTTATTATAGAATATATTGAAGTCTCCATTTGGTGATCTATATATGGTTAGAATTTGTGTGCCATCCAAACAGGTGACACCAGCAACCTCAAAGTGTAACTCCTCAGAAATGTTTAAAACTTTGTCACACAAAGGCTTAGCACTAAACTTATTATTGACATAAATACAAACACCACCGTGGATTTTGCTTGACCTGCAAAAACTAGACACATTCATATATTCACAAATATTCAGAGTATTAATCTCATCGCAAGTCAACCAATGCTCATTCAAACAAAGAAAGTCATAACTGTGCTGTTTTGCCACCAACTCAAGTTCATCAACCTTGTTTCTCAAACACTGTACGTTTAAATGTAAAAGTTTATACCGACAATCATTCGTGCGCACTTCACAGGCGCGAGCGTGTGATAAGGAATTTTTCGATACATTCTGTTTACCCGAATCATGTCGTACTAGGTGATTAGTATCGGATTCCCACTGGCCAGTAAAAAAGCACCAGTACTCTCACTGTTGCAATGCACTCGACGTTCCATTTTATAAATTGGAATTATTGGAGGCGATAACAAAACGTTTCTTTTGAGGGTAGAGCAGCTCGTCTGCACATGACTTCTTATGATGTTTGCCAGTGATTTGCGAAAACCATTCTTTACTACTAATAACTTCACTGAACAGTTAGGGTTATTTTTAATATAACTAGTTATTTTGTTTTCCAATAGAACTGCTAAGGCTTCATCTACAGGCTCGGACTTTAGAAGAATTACTAGATTTGTAAATTTACCCAGTGGTAATACATTTCTAAGAAAACTGTTCAATGTTTTGTGGTTGCTTATGTTTTTTGTGCTGAAAACAATAATTACATAGTCACTTTGTCCATGATCCATAGTTTGAGTGAAAATATTACTTGTGATATTTGCAGCCTCTGTGTTGGGCTTAACAATTCCTTCAACTATATAGCCTATGCTCTTCATTGAATTATGTAAGACTCTAGCGCAGTTTCTGGCCAATTGATCGCCCACAATGAGCAGTTTCTTGGAAGTCTTCGCACTGTTCCTGGATTGTTTAAAAAGTTCATCATACAAAGATACATTTTCCTCAGTCCTCAGCTGTTTATCCCTATCGTCTAATATATTCTGTTGATCGTTGGCATTTCCTTCAGTGTTCTCCGACAATCGACACCTGTCTTCTTTTGTTCTTTCTTCTAATTCGCCTATTTTCCTTGAGTATGCATTGTTTGTTTCTTCCAAAAGACTAATGGTTTTCAGCATATCGGCATGAATATTTCTTAGCTTCGTCATCTCTGTTTGCGTGTCTTTTGTCATTTGTTCATAACTGTCCATCTGTTTCTGAAGGTTTTTGTTCTTCTCTTCTGCGTCGACTATTTCTTTTTGTAGTGTACACATTCTTTCTTTTTGGTTTTTCAATTGGTCTTTAAAAGAATTTTGCTCCTCTATGAAACTTTGTTCAGATTCAAAAACATCTTCTTCAAAATCCTTGGCCTTCTTCGTTAATCTAATTATATGTTTCTCTTTATCTTGTAATTGGAATCGGTTAATAAATGACAGAGAAATTAATACTTAAATTTGGCGCATTATAGCACAAAATCATTGCTGCCGTCGGTTCGCGTCTAACGTCATACTTCACTAGTGCTGAGCGTCCCGATAGCGTCTGTGCTTTTAGTCTAGACAATTCATAAGACACACCTGTGCGCTCGGCCACATGTTTTTTTTTTTTTTTTTTTTTTTTTTTTTTTTTTATATCGAAACAGCCGCGCAGGCAGAAGCCTAAATGCCGGAACACCGCGGCTGCTATGATGATCCCAAAGAAATTTTGTTAATACGATTTTTGAACTGCCTAAGGTTAGTAGAACTGGGAAAAGCTTCCTCCCGTAGTTTGTTCCACAATCTAGACACCCTCGGGACAAAGGAGCGGTCGTATCGGCCAGTTCTGGATGTACGAAGTTTGACACGGTTAGGATGGGACGCCGAAGTCAGGCGGGTCTGTCTGGCAGGCACATCGCGCGGCGGCATCATGGAATAGAGCTCTGAGGAGCAAAGCCCGTTGGTGTAGCGA